ATTGTTAACACTTTATCGAGCAAAGGCGTATTTCTTAAATGACAAATTTGAAAATTTGACTGGGGTGTTAAAAGGGACAAAATAACGTAAAAACATTTGATTTATAACAAATATATTGCAAATAAAAAAGTTTGACAATGTAATCATATATTCACATTGACTATTCATGGTTATGTTTTAAGACATAACTTATTACTTATGAAATGACACAAAACAATTTTTTTTATCTGTAATACAAAGTCTCTAGCATTATATTTTTTACACTGAAATCGACTTTTGACAGTACCTACACAACCTTTTCGTTGTGTGGACAGGCCAATCACCAACACAATCTTTTCTTGTCGTATTATCTGGTCTAGCAATAACTAGATATTTAATTTTTTCTATTGAAACTATATTCAAAGAGCTAGGTCTACCACGTCGACATTCTTTCCCGGCATTGGCATTAGCTAATGAGGATGCAAGCTCTTTTCGAAAAACTTTTAAACGTTTATATTTTTTTATATTTAAAACCTCACAATCATTCCGATAGATAAGCCAAGCATTTACGACGCTTATATCCAGAAAATAGGCAAATATTGAATAATACCATCGCTTAGCTTTACACGGCGTTTTGTAATAACCCATTAGCGCATTGGCTTTATTTACCCCACCCAAGTGTTTGTTGTAGTTTGTTATTACAGATGGACATACAAGATCGATTTTCATTTTAGCAGTTTTGCAGTAGGTACCTTTGTACTGAACTCGTTGGCTCGACTCCATAGACTGTGCCACCAAGTAACACACATTTATTGTCAACATATTTGATTACGATGATACCATCCTCTTTGTCAGCCTTATAGTCATACGTTCCCCTTCCTTGCTTTTTCAAAATCTTGTCACTGTCAATTATGAGGGTCATGGAAAGACTTGCATAGGTAAATAACGACACTGGCTCCAACACCCAACGAATCCTCTTTTTCTGTTAGTTCATTCCGAGTTCCTTTTAGTTCGGGAAAAGTAGTTGAACCTTGATAAGATATAAAATCTAGTGTACATCCAGAGACTCCAGCAATTACGAAAAATTTATAACCCCATTTGTGGGGTTTGTTTTTTATGTATTGCCGTAAGTAACCTGCACGTGTTCCTTTATACGCCACCATCGACTCATCAATAGAGTAGTCATTTTAAAGATGAAATGTCCGACAATTCTGAGGAATGTCCTCAATAAGAGGTCGTATCTTGACAAATCTGTCAGCCGGTGTAACAAGGCTGTTGTCAGTAGTAATATCCCTAGAACATTGATAACAGACGAGATAATTTCATAACAATCGAAAGCTCGTTCTTTGGTAACAGCACGAAGCCGAAGGCTGAGTGCTGTTACCAAGCAACGAGCTTGAGAAATTTGTCATGAAATTATGAGGCATTCATCAATGTCCGAGGGATATTCGGCGGATAGTTTTTCGAAATTTTCGAATTTGTGACTGTAGGTTGTATTTCTGGGAATTTTTTCTTTGATTAGCGCATTTATACTTTGAACATTCTCATTGCCGAAACGTGACATTTTGAAATTTATTTGGATGAAGTTGTCAAACTCGATCGTGTTGTCATAGGGATTGAAAATTGCACTGAATGCAATTATCAGTCTAATGTTGACATGATTGGGTGAAATTGTTCCACATGACACAAAATGACGAAATTTGAATGGTTGTTAGAACAGTCGAAAAATTATCATTGAAATAGATATAACGTCTAAGTAATTTGAATCATTTTACCGGCATAATACTAACAATTTGTTCGACTGTAGTACCCGCTGCCCAATAGTGTTCATATGCCGGTAGTTTTATTATTCCCATTAGAAAAAGAATAGAAATAAAGTCTGTCATTTCTTTATGATTAGTGTTATTGCTGGCTCCCCACTCTTGAGTACTGTAAAGCTGGCTCTATTATTTTATGAAAAACATCAAATGAAAAAAAATTCGTGAAATATTCAAATGGGGATAATATTTCTTCATTAGCATGTGCAATGAAACTTTTTCTATTTTCTACAGCTTTTATATCTTCTTTCAACTAATTATATGTAGATTTGGACTTTTTCTTTTTTTTGCATGGACGTTCGCTCGAGCTGCCTGAGGTAGGATCCACATCAGCAATGTATTCTTGAATGTGTTCATCGTGTTCTAATATGCTACTATCAGAATCACTATCATCTGTAAAAGATATTTTTTCTTTAAACGTCAAATAATGATGACATTAAATATCTAACTTGATCCTGTCAAAGTTTGATGTCTCCGCCGGCAGCAGTTTTTTTTCCCATTTCTTTACGGCGGAGGAAAAATTTGGTCATGGCAACAATATGAAACATGTCACAAAGCAACAATACAAATGCCATTAACAACAATTAAACATCATTTTTATTTATAGTAATATTAAAAGTACAATTAGTTAATGAGGCATTTTCAAAATTGAAACCGTGCAAAAATGTTCCCGACTCTTCATACGCATTGGTAATTGTTGATGACACTGATGGTCGAGAACAACTTTCAGCAATCATTCGCGATGTTGGCCAATCATGAGGGTTTAAAATTTATTGAGCATTATCGTTCTTATTTCTTATTGAATCCTCTATATATCCTTCGGCAACCGTGCTTGATTTCCAGCCCCCATGTCGTTTGAGGCATTCTAGATTTCCGCCTCCATCAATTAAAAGTGTTGCTAAAGTTCGTCGTAAAGAGTGACCCGTGTATGCGCTTGCATCGTTTAAATTTAAATAACTAGCTACTTTTTGGGCTACTGCGCTGATCGAATGTATTCCCATGACGCTTCGGTAACACTTTCCATTTTGGTACTTGATAAAAAATCGGTTTTCTGTGAAATTTTCAGGCCGCAGTGATGCATACTTTTTATACAGTTTAATGTAGTTTTGACCAATTATCGTAAAAGATCTAATTTGTCGTGTTTTACTGTCTGGGATTTTGATAATTATTACATTTTCTTTATCCTCAATGTCCACAGTCTTCATTTTTACCATTTCGTCGCATCGACAGGCGCCGGTAACCCCAATTAACAAAACAATCTGAAATATTTTTATAATTTAGTAGAGTATACTACATGCTTTGCAATATAATTTTTTTACCTTTAATCCTAAATACAACTTATCTGGCGCTTCAAACAAAAATTTATCAAACTCGTCTTTAGTGAAAACTTTAGACTTCTTTGCAGTATATCCTTAGCTTGTTTTTTTCAGAGTCACGTAACTTTAAAAATTTGCTTATATCCACATTTTTTCTAATAACTAACTCTGATTTTATCATAGAGTATCGTGACCACATTGTAGAAGATTTCCATTTATTTTCATTTTCCATTATATTAAAATATGCCAGTAAAACGTCTTCGGTAACTTGCCGTACTCCTCTTGTATCGCACCACTCTTGGAAGTGCTTGTACGCTAACCGATACTTTATTCCGGACTTCGAGGGCCCCAAACGTTCTACTGCATCATTAGCCGCGGACTCAATTTTGATTAGGTTTTCCATTTTCGCACTAAATTTGCACTTACGGTTGCAATAACAATAAGCTGTCTTTAATAATTGCAAACATCTGTCAAACAACTGTAACCAGGGAGACGCAAATCCCACCGACGACTTAATTATTTTAATTTCTAACATCTAGACGACTTTGATAGTTGTCACAGTTAATTTCGAGTAAAAATAGCGTATGAATTGTACTATTTATGGTTGAAAATTGCTACGTTTGAAGAAAACATAGTATACTTTATTCGGCAAAGAAGCGACATTTCTTGACTTGCCCTCTATTACGCGCCTCACTTCGTTCGGCGCGTAATATCGGGCGCGTCAAGAAAAGTCATGCTTCTCCGCCTCATAAAGTAATATACTATTATGAGGTTGTATTCGACAACGATATAAAACCATATTTTACCTGACAACTGAAGTGATACCGGTTTCTGTATAGATTTCAAAACAGGCTCTTCGTCATCAGAAGTATCAGACCCATCAGATATGGTAGGATCTACTGGCGGCAATCTACACTTATTTTATCCCTAAAAAGAGCGAGTTCGTATTTCTGTCAACAAATTTTTCATATCCATATTTACTGAAAATTAAATCGTTATGGGGCAAAGTGACCAGATGGATACATTTGATTTTCAGATGCAATTCAATATCAAATACTACAAATAATGTATGTACATAAAGGTAGAAACAGTGAATAGTAGGTCTGGAATAAATTTGAATAAGAAAATCTTTCAAATCGTAAATAAACTTACCTAAAACAACACTTTCTGCAATCTGTTGTGGCCTGTTTGCGGGGGGCAAGGCAGTCTGGGCACACCCCAAACTGTTTTATTGATTCATCAACAATAAACTACATACCAAAAACAAGCAAAAAAACTGCAAGAGCTCCCCTCGCTGTTGCCTCGCAGTGTGTTGTGTTCGTGTTGTGACAGACATCAGCTGGCTCTCATCTCCTCTTCGTCTTTCCTACTTTTTCTCCTACTCTTTTCTCTCTACTTCGGTAGCACAGTCAACCCATGTGTGGCTGAAGGTTAACTGTCAATCTGCCACACTGTGTTTACCATAACCTCAAAGGTCACCTGTGACCGCCAAAACAAATTGATGAAACGAGTAGTTATTTTCAACTCTGTGTTTCACGACTTTTACCCCCTCTTCTTACACTGTGTGTGGTGACACACAATGTAACCACTCGGTACCATCGTTCATTCGTATTTAAAAGGCAAGGAACGTGCTGTAGTGTACTTTGAAATCAGTGCAACCATATGGTTACAATTCCCGATAAAGGGTAAAGATATGAATTATAAAGAACTTTCAGTAATTACGATTGTGTGTTTACAAAATGTTTAAAAAAAAGTCATGTATTTCTAATGAATAAATAAGTATATCTTTCTAAAATTTCTATTGCTGAAAAAGATTGATAGATTTTTGATAGAAAGAAAAAAATATATTTCTGTAAGATTGTTCTAATAAAAATCTTTTTTGTTTTAGAAAGTAATCAAATAATTCTTTGGAATAATTCAACTGGATCGACGTTTAAAAATCATCCACATTGTGAATTGTTGGTGGAAATGGATTGTGCATACCCTGAGGTATTTATATGACTAATTGTGACAATCATGCTTATTTCATATTGAACAAGAATTTACCTAACTTTGGTCAGTATATCTTTTAAAATTGCAAAAGTAACATATACCGCGAAAAAGAAATGTTAGCTTCAGCTCTCTATCTCTCTCTCTCTCTCTCTCTCTCTCTCTCTCTCTCTCTCTCTCTCTCTCTCTCTCTCTCTCTCTCTCTCTCTCTAGTGCCTCCCCTCCTTATGGAGTATTAGCGCTCTAGTGTTTCCTATCCAAAAGTGAAAGATGGCTGATTGGCTGAATCAGAGCACCTCCAATAATCCTACGGCCGCCAAAAAGAGGGGCGATGTGTCATAATGACATGTTTATTACTTGCTAACCAGGGTTAAAATGTTTTCATACTATTGTACCATAATGGCTACTATTTATTAAATAAAAGTATTTTCAGCCATCAGCTTAGACAGTTAAGTCGTCTTAGGACAAGTTCGTTTCATAGCAATCATCTTGTTGTATATATCAATTTTTTTATGAGATTTCTTTTATATTACTCGTAACCAAAACTCCTTAAAACTTTAATAGTCAAGCTGTTAGATGTTTAGATGTTCCCCCATCCGATTTTTTTTAATGCTACTGTTGAGAAGGTCGTGGAGGGTAGAATAAGGAATAAGTTATATATGACGTTACCTTTATGAATATTTTCAGAAATATTTTTCGGACTCCCGTAAACGTTCGCACAAATCTCTGGTTATTCCTTCAAAATAATCATTTTTGTTTGCAATTACTGGAATATTTTCTACTGTTACACTTTCATTGTATCTGCTGGTGTTACTAAATTAATCGGCTATTGCTTCTCTTGTATTAGTACTTGTGTAATTTTGTCCCTAAAAATACCGAATATTCAAGGAACAGTTATAGAGAGAGATTTGATAAACTAAACCAAAATTTTAACTCGACCTCTTCAAAGCTATGTTCTTGTAATTAACGATTACTGAGATGACCCATTGGAAATATAATACGTGCCTATTAGTATTAGATATTTTTCATGATAACGAATACCTACTCAAAAGTAGTTGCTGCTAAAAATCATTTAAATCTTTATTCAGAATATCTTCAGATCAGAACACTCGATCCAGACTGGTACCCATACCGGAACCATAAGCGTTAGTGCAGGAATAGTGGAAAAGTGGAAATTTAAACATTTTTATTCCACAAGGAGAATATACCTCTGTATTTCAATTTTGCAGTATTTAAGAGGAACTAACATAAGGGCTTTCCAATTAAAGCAGATCAGTATATGCAGAAATCGCCAAGCAACCATAGGGGCTTTTATAACCCCCTAGGCTATTAGACTCTAGGCTAGTATGGAAATGCCGATAAAAGACTCGATAGACTGCCGGAATATAACAGTGTCACATTGATACAGGTTTCAGGTCGCCGGGAAATACATGGCAATGAAAGAGTTGTTGAACTTGCCAGAAGAGCATCAGCTAAAAAACACTTGTGACTTGACATGTGCTAATAGGACGAAAGTACTGCGGAAATAAGCAGGAATCAGCTTGTGGTCCTAACAGACACCGTTACTGGACATGCGCCAGTTAAGCGACACCTGTATACAATAAACTATTTTCTTGAGATTATCCTGAAGACTCTGTAGCAGAGGACTTTAAATAGTCACCATATCTAGTATGACTGCGAGGCATTAAAAACAGTGACTTCAAAAACATGGTATCCATCCACTAGACCTGTATAAGCTGGTACAGGGTTCCAGAGTCCTGGAATGGATATGGTATGTAAGAATACACACATACGCTACCAAGTGACTTCAAAAACATATGGTACCTATTGACTAGATATGTACAAGCTGGCACAGGATTCTAGAATGTTGAAACATATGATACCCATCCACCAGACCTGTACAAGCTGGTACAGGGTTACAGAATCCAGGAATGGGAATGGAAGATGTACAATACGCCAACTGGTTGCAGTACGACCGGTTTACAACAGACGCCTCCATGGTAAAAATAATGCAAGAACTGGTAATTGTGGAACGCCATTTTTTTTAAGTGTTAATTTCTGTACTTAATACTTTGTCGTTAAATATATTTTTTATAAATCTTATGAATATAAAAGGAATAGTGCAAATATATTTATAACATTTATAACAATCGTAAAATAGTTTCGAAACACAATTCAGATTTCTGCTTTATAATCTGAGCCTTCTAAGAATTGCAAGGCAAACAGACGTTGATAAAAGATGTTAAAAGAGAAATTGTGTTTCGAAACTATTTTACGATTGTTTAATTAGATGTCGCTAGTGCGTCCGTATTGAAGCCATGTTATTGTTGCTTCTTAAAAGGCAGAAAATATTGATTTTTCACGTTGAGAACCCCTATGAATAGCTCTTCTGACGAGACCTATTAGGTCGAAATACGTATCAAGAGATACATAGGATTTGTTTGCGTGAAATCAAATATTTGCTGCCTTTTCTAATTTTATTCGGATTTACTCTGTGTGAGTACTAGAAGCACAATTCGCTAAGGATTTCTGCTTAGTTGTAAAAGACATGTCGTGGAATGCAAATTTTAGATTCCCAATGTCTCTTTTAACATCTTTTATCAACGTCTGTTTGCCTGAAATCTGAATTGTGTTTCGAAACTATATTACGATTAAAATTAGGGCACGAGTTCCTAATAAATAATAAACACACGCTATTAAAGCCAAAAAAATGCATAAAAAACCAATTTAAGTTCAAACTGTACAATAAAGTTAATGTGTTTAAAATCCGTATTTTGTTTCGAGTCTGACATCTAAACAATATTAACCATATATAGACTAGAGAGAAAATACTCAGATTTTATGGTTGTTCCTTTAAATATGCCGTTGAAACAAAGCAGAAAACGAGCATTTATAGATGAAAAACAGGGCTAGTTGTTAAAGTACCTAACTTTTTTATTATTCAACACAAGCAAATGAATCAAAAAGGAAAATGTTAAGAAAGCCTGATGCTATAATTGAGTTTTAATTTCAATATTTTATATATGCTAGAATATTCCACAGGGTGTTCCGAAATTTAAGGAAAAAACACAATATCATTGTTGCACCCGGTATAAAATGACACTGACCTGTCTAGCAACAATATTATTACATCGAGATTCTTAAATAATATAACTATGCCATACAAAAAATCACTCAAATCGGACAACAGGTTTAGGAAATTCCAGACATCTAACATGAACCATTGTTAAGGTGTTCTGTTAATTTTGCCGGTTAATTTTTGTCAACAAATTGAAATTATTGATTAAGCAAATTAGCAACATTAAACAACTTACCAACGTTGAAAAAAAGGTAGCCGCTCATTTGAATTATGTTTATTACGAGACGGAGCTGCAAGCACTTCATAGCGAGTTTGAAAGACGCTTTGCGGATTTTAAAAAACTGACAGATATTGTAACATTCATGTCTGATCCATTTTCTGGTCAAGACGTGGAAAAAATAGTCACTGAAATATCCGTTACGTTCAATATGGAGATCATTTCCGTAAAAAATGAGGTACTGAAAATAATTTCGGATATACACCTTAAATCCAGAGCGACCGATACGATATTTTGGTCTTTCATATCGTCTGAGAAATATTCGTTTTTGAGACAAGCAGCTCTGCGCCTCACAGCATTCTTTGGATCAACTTACTTGTGTCAGACTGCATTTTTCTAAATGAAGATAGTAAAATCAAAATATCGTAATCGGCTAACTGACGAACATCTCTCTTCATGCTTGCGTTTGGCCGTCGGTAATTACGTACCATCATATGAAATACTTGTGGATGTACATGATGGATGTGGATGATGTACTTGTGGAAAAACATGACTACAACTATCTGTACTTACAACTTTTTATGAACTAGAAATGTACAAAATATTTTTTATTTTCAAAATTGTTTTTTTACTATGCTTTGTTTTTAAACCAGGAGGAGTAAACTAAAGAGACAGATTCACATTCAAGAAAGTCACTAGAAAAGTTACCATATACATCTTCTTTTTTGGTTGATCATATTGGCCTTCGACGGTAATCAAAAATATTATATTATACTAATTCGTTGCTATGAGTTCTAAAAACAACTGTATTTTTTATATAAAAGCAGACTAAAAATCTAAAAATTTAAAGAATAACGCAGAAACACAAAAAATAGCCGATATAACTTAATTAACCTATGAAATGCCATTAGTGTCAAAATTTCATAACAGTGGAGTAAATTTGCCTGAGGTTGGACCAATTATAAACAAACATTGCCGCGCGGTAAATTTGAATTACTCGTCCTGGTTTAAAAACAGGGTATAGCAGTCGATCTCCGGGCGCTTGCAGTTTATGTTGTAGATCCCATGCAGTATAAGTCTGAGCACAACTGCTTTAGAATATACAAAGACGTATATTCTAAACTGGTCTAGTGTCAGAAAAAGAGGATGGATAAACCACGTGGATAGAATGGGTGATAAAGAGACTTGCAAAGAGCAAAGGAAGATAAACCAAACATTAGCAGACAATCCAGAAGATCCTCCAAACGCTGTGCTGGTATGAAGGTTGGACATTGGAATCCCAACTTAGGCTAAGATCTTGAAAGAAAAACAAAACTCTCTATGGATATAATCTCTCTATGGATATAATAAATTAATTAATTTACTGGTCAGTTCAGTCGCTGGATATCTTCTTATGCAGGCCATTCACGTTCAGACTTGTGGTACGACTAGTGGTCCAACTTTTGCAGTTGGATCTGAAATCGGACCGTGAGTGGGCTAGTTGGATTAGTTGGACAACTAGTGGTCCGACTCGGAACATCTAGTGGGACGACTTGAAGATCCGACTTCCGACTGGCGACGAAGTCGGAACGTGAATGGTGAAGTTGGAAGTCGGATCACAGGTTGGATCGAAAATTTCCTCAGTCAGATGACCTTCGGCACCTGTTACGTATTAGATTTCCATAAAATACTTTACGCAAAGATCTCTAGTTCGCGAATATTTAATAGAAAATAAACTTTCAATTGCACGAAAATTACCTTTGTGTTAGGGCAAATCATTTTCCTTTCGGACATTCCCATACAGGTAAATTTCCGAAACTCCGGATTGGCTACGGAAGAATCATCAACAAACAATGAACACTAAATCATAGTTGTAGCAAAAGATCTGCCTAGCACGTCTCACACATGCTCTATCGGGTTCAGGTCTGGGGAACAAGCTGGCCAATTCATCGTTGTTATACCCACTTGTAATAAGAAATCTCTTACACAGCCTGCGACGTGTGAGCGCGCATTATCCTGGATTAAAATAAAATTTTCGCCAATATATGGTGCAAAAAGTACCACATGGTCTTGGAGAATATCTCTGATATACCTATCTGCTGTTAATGCTCCATCATCAATCACCACTAACTCTGTTCTTGCTCCCAAACATATACCGCCCCACACCATAATTGAACCGCCACCAAAAGGTAAAATTAATCGTAATTAATAGTAAAATTAAAAGCCCCCATTTCGTTCTCCTTGGCGTCGATACAATCTTTCTCTGTCGTCGATGTAATTTACACAGAAACGGCTCTCGTCCGTAAAGAGAATTTGACTCCAGTGGTTATCATTCCAATTTTGATGTACTCGACCAAATTGTCTACTACGTAATGTTTGCAACTTTATAAATCGATCATCTACAACCGAGGTTTACAACAACGTTTTCTACATTGTCCCCTTCTTCTTACATACTCGCCGGTTTGTCTCCAACGACTTACACAACGATGGATGGTTGATGGTGATTTACCTAATATTCCAGCAACTTCCCTGTACGTTCGACCATTGTTAGGGCCCTAGCAATATTAGTCGGTATTAAATCACCCATTTTTACGTACTCTTTGCAATAAGAACACCACTGATTAGAACAAATCAAAAGCAAAATCACATCCAACAAACTCAAACAAATTAACTTATCAATTTGACATTTAAGACTTTCTTGTGACAAGGAGCATTCAAAGCTATTTAAATATAGTCTATAAAATACAAATATAAAGAAATATTGCATTAATAACTTGTTCCTTTAAATTTGTCGGTGTGTGTATGAAATTGTTAACTTCTCATAGCCTACTTTAGGCTTGTTTATTAAACTAAGCAGAAAATGAGGATTTATTGATGAAAAACATGGCAAGTTGGTAACGTACTTAACTTTTTTATTATCAAACACAAGCAAATGAATCAAAAAAGAAAATGTTAAGAAAGCCGGAGGCTATAATTGAGTTTTAATTTCAATATTTTATATATGCTAGAATATTCCACAGGGTGTCCCGAACTTTGAGGAAAAAACACAGTATGATTGTTATTTCCGGTATAAAATGGCATTGACCTGTCTAGCAACGATATTATTACATCGATATTCTTAAATAACATAAATATAACATACTAAAAACATCACTAAAATCGGACAACAGGTTTAGGAAACTCGAGACATCTAACTAATCCCATTTTTAAAGTGTTCTGTTAGTTTTGCCGGTGAGTGTAGTTCAAAATTAAGGAGGTTCATATGATTTGTTAAATGAGCCATTTTTCGTTTTGAAGTAGATGAGTGTCGTCCCCTCGTTCTTCTAAAAAAGAAATTATTTCGGGAAGTAGCTCCTGGAACTTATCTAAAAATTTTCCACGGCTCAACCACCTCACACCTGTATGAAGAAGTAAATCAGTGTGTTTCGCAGAGTCGCTATCTTCTAATGGCGCTTTAAAAAGACGTTGCAAGCTTCGCGGTCTGATTGAATTCACAATTTTTGTTGTCGTCTTCATGATGACGTCCATATTTAAAATTTTGAAACACAAAACTTGCTGGTGAATGATGCAATGAAACTAAAAAAACGATGAAAAGTCATCGTTAGCTCGACATAATCCAACAAATCCATTGTTAATGCCAGTTATGGATGGTGCACCATCTGTTGTTTCACAAAATTTATAAAAACGTTATATTTATCTTCTCCGCGAGTTTTTTCTTTCAGAGTCAGCATTGTTAACAATTCTTCTTTAGCCAACATGTCAGAAAATACCATTCGAATGAAAATACACAACCGAGCGATATCAGTCATATCGGCCGACTCATCAAATTGCAAAGAAAAGTACATACACTTCATAATATCACTTTTAACTTAGCTGTCGAAATCTTTGCCCATGATTTAGATACATCCAGTAACCGTTGGACGTGATAACTGGACTTATTAGACGGCAGACATAATATCTTTTTGATTTTTGAAGTCCTCAAAAAATACATTCACAGCTTCAATGAATGCTTCCTCTCCATCCTCAAATGATTTTTTATGTCTTGCCAATATATATGAAATTTTTAACGACGCAATTGTTGCAGCTACTGATTGTTTAACAGACCTAGTGAACATTGATTGTTCCGTCTTCAAACTACTTTTCAAGACTTTTCGTTTTCTCAACAAACTGTTTTGCGGAAAATCATTTTCATAGTTTTTATGCAAAGTTTGGGTAGAGCAACGGAATACCGATAAACAAGACAAATATACTTTCTCCATAGTAAATAGGAATTCTTCTTCCCACGCATTATTAAAATGATATGTTTTACTCTTTTTCGCGGCACTTCGGATCAGACGTTTTATTGTTCATGTATTTTCTTAAAAAATGCCACCGTTTTAAAACAACATTAGGGAATTCACCCAATACTTGTCTATTATTTGTCTTTTTATATCGAAAACCTAAATATTTCAGCACTTTTCACAAACTTGTTAAATTAATATCACACAGTTGCTTGTCTTTTATTTTTTGTAATACAGCACTAATTGTAACATGTTCTTTGGCTTTATACATATTATATATAATATTTTTAATTGCAAGTTCAATTGACTGGTGCAAATCTAAAGCTTTTGGATGTCGACGATTTCTGTTGCTTACTTTATTTATTTCATGTTATTAATTCCTCACTCATATTATTAATTCTTCGGAATGTCCTTTATGAGATACCGAAAGTATCGCATGTGCGTTTCTGAACTGCCATAACAGATGTCAATGGACCCATATTATTTTTTCCAAATTGAAAAAACTTTCGACTTTCAGAACAAAAGTACCGCTTCACTGCACTACTATAAAAAAATAGGTACTTATATATAACTAGTACACCCTAAAAAGGACGAGGGTTGGGCAGCAGACGAAACAATGGGATACAAATTATTTTAAAGCCAATGCTAACCAAGCATAAACACTGCACTGATTGTGATTGCAAAAATCGTCCGCATGTTTTAAATAAGATGTTGCTGATTATGTATTTTGCTAAATTATTAAATAACACCAATACAACCCACGACCATCAATTAAGTTTTAACGATAAACAGAAGTGTAATATGATGACAAGTTTGAATTTGATCTACTTTGTCGATAACAGTGTCGTTAACAGAAATATATTTTTAAATAGCATGAATCATTTTTCAATGATTGTGTGGATTTAAGAAATACATTACTAAAAAAATTTTTAAAGTGTGTATAAGGGAGATTACAATTATTATGCCACATGGTACTTATTATTTTTCAAATAATATGTTCTTGTAAAGGCATAATTTTGATTATTGGGTAAACCTACATTATACGATACGTCAAAAGAAATTAAAAAAAAAATGAACATGTAATAATTCACTCTTTAAATAAATATTCCGTACTCGTAGTATTGCAATAAAATATTAAAACCAATAAACGATAACTTGTTGAGCAGTGCTGATTGAAACAACAGAGCAGTAAAATGTTATTCATAAAGGTGGTATAAAATATATCGCCGCTTATCTGGTCCGCTAGTAATAAAGTTACCAGCATTTAATTGCAAAGTGGTTTTCTTAGGTGGAAAATATTTTAGTCTCTGAAGATTGACCTTATCTTCAAATATTACCAGTGCATCATAAGCATGATAAATTATTTTAAATTTTGTATTGTCCATTCTATAACCTCTTCCCACAGTTCCACTTCTTTGATGATATGGTTTATAAGAACGTAATAAGAAGATAACTGAGCTGAGACTAACCCCTTGCCTAATTCCTCTTGAGACTATTTTCTTGTTGGACAACTTATTGTTTGCTCTTATGAAATTACTGTTTCTAATCGTCAATTGTTGACTAATTTCAATTATTGTTTTTTTTTTTCGTTTAAGTTTCTTTCCTTTAAATAGTTTTAGAACATCGGTAAGCCTTACCCTATCAAATGAAGCACATTAAGGCTTTTTTTTTATTATATTCAAAAGCTTTTTTGACTATTTTTCTGATAATGAATATTGCATCTATAGTAGATCTATTATTTCGGAATCCTTGGTGTTCTTCATTGATGGTACTCTGTAAGACTTCTTCTGCCAAAATATTTGCAAATGATTTTATGGCCTGTAAAAGTCATTTTAAATAGACAACATTCTCCCGCGGCTCTCCAGAGGCTAACTGTTGTTAAAAAAACATAGATCAAACGGCATGTTGAACGAACGTAAACAATGTGACTGTTTTAATCCATAGACGTGTAAATGCTTTGTTTTCTGCAACAATTTATAAATTTTTTAAAAATTTCTCAATGTTTAACCTTAACAAGAAATTAAGGTTAAATGTGATAAATTATACAAATAGAATGTTTCATGGAATCTAATAGTTTGCGGGTTCAATTTTTTAAATGTTACGAAAAGAAGTTAAATAGAAGGTTCTTTTTAGGTACCCGAACTTAGAAAAAATGGTGATTGCAAGTACAAAATTATGATGAAGGTGCCTTCAAAGCATAGCACAAGCACTTGTGGCGTAATAATTCACAATAGGCTGCTAGATTTAACACCATTGAAAAAGAAATACACTGTACACTCTGTAGCTAACAACGTCAATACTACATTTAGTATTAGTTTATGCAGTGAAAATGAAGATTGTCAAGATCAGGCTAGTACTTGCGATGTTACTAATGAAACGAATCATATTTTAATTTCGAAAAGAGATAGTGAATTGATTAGGTATAATGACATAACAGGGGATATCGAGTTAACAGGAAAAGCTAAGATTGGTAAGTACTTAATTATTGATCACTTCGTACTACTATAAAGCAGTGTGATTTTGAAACTTTTTTTTGTTATATTTTTCATTTTCATTCGTACTGCAGTGTTTATGTTCCGTGAAATGGGGTGAGATTGATCAATTTTAACTTTATTTGATTTATATTTTAACGTTTTTGTTACTGTTCTATATTTAAACACTTCACGTGTTATTATCTAAAGAGTAGTGATTTAACACTAGTTTTGTTTGAATTGTTAAGAAAATTAACTTCATAAAAAAGGGTGATCAATTTTAGACCCGTACTGATGTGAGTTTGATCATGATGATTTTATAACATGAAGCAGTAGTGCTTTTAAATAGAATATTATCAATCTTACCAGACAAACCAGAACAAACCCAAAATAAACATCCTACAGTTTATGCTCCAACTGCAGACAAACCAGAGAGCGATATTGAAACTTTCTACGAAGACCTAGACAACATTTTAAAATCCATTAAAACGCAAGATTTAACAATTATAATGGGAGACTTTAACGCAAAGGATGGGGAAGAAAAAGTAGAAGAATGTACAGGAGGATATGGTCTGGGCAACAGAAACGAAAGGGGTGACAGGCTTATCGAATTTTGCCAAAACAATAATTTTGTTATAGCTAATATATTGTTCAAAATGCCAAAGAGAAGACTATATACCTGGAAGTCACCAGCAGATCAAGAAAAGAGAATTGTAAGAAACCAAATAGACTATATATTAGTTAGACAAAGATACAGTAACGCAATTATATCCGCAAAAACCTATCCAAGTGTCGACATAGGATCAGATCACAACCCAGTAGTGACCAAAAAAATTAGGCTCAAAATGAAAATAATAAAGCGAAGAACAACAAATGCAAAAATCGATACAAGTAAATTAAGGAACCCACTCATAAGGCTATGCCTAGCAGATGAAATCAACAACGGATTAATGAATGTTCAAGAACAAATTCTGCAAAATACTGAGACGGAGAAAAATGATTATTAATAAAGACAGAAATAGATAAAAGTAAAAAAGAAATTCTAATACAAACCAGATATAAAAAGAAGCAATGGATGACGGAAGAAATTTTAGATTTAATGGAAGAAAGACGTCAATATAAGAACAATGATAATCAGATGTACAAAAAGTGGATAAACAAATTAAATACAGAATTTAGAAAGCGAAAGAACAATGGCTAAAAGAACAATGCACACAAATAGAAGAATACGAAAAAGACATGATAGTTTTAACACACATAAAAAAATTAAAGAATTAACTCACAACAATAGAACAAGAAAACCGGGAATACTGAAAGATGCAAATGGGAACTTGTGTTGAATACAAACGACAAATTGAAGAGATGGACAAAATACATCAATGAACTATTTAAAGACAATAGAACAGAACAGATGGAGATAGAAGTAGAAGAGGGATATGGTTTTAAAGATCTTAAAAGAGGAAATTTAAAATTTCATTAAAAAAACAGCAAAAATGGTAAAGCATTAGGTCCAGACAAAACAGGGCACATACCGAAACAATGGTTCCATCTTTTGTGCTATCCCTAAAAATATAAATGCTAAATATTGCAGTGAATACAAAACAATCACTAATAAGTCACATTCTCAAATTATTCCTGAAAATAATACATGGTCGTATAAATTAAAAACAGGAAGAAGGAATAGATGATAGTCAGTTTGGGTTCAGAAACTGACTCGGGACCAGAGAAGCGCTATTTGCTTTTAATATGTTAGCTCAAAGCATTTGAAAAAGCATTTGACAAAGTAAGACATGAAAAATTCAACTTCTAAAGACAAAAAGCATAGAGCACAGGGACTTACGACTAATAACAAACCTCTACTGGAATCAAAGAGCACAAATTATAATAGATAACGAACCCAGTCCAGAAATTGAAATCAATAGAGGAGTTAGGGAGGGATGAATTATGTTCCCATTACTATTTATTGTATATAGTGAAGCCATTTTTAAAGAAGCATTACTATGTCAAAGTGAAGGAATAATAATGACACCGTGATTATGGCAAGCTCTGCGGAACAACTCCAATTACTGCTAAACAAAACAAACAGTTTTTGTGAAAAATATGGACTAAAAATGAATATAAAAAAGACCAAATACATGATAATAACAAAGAAAACAAATATACCAACAAACATGCATTTGGGAAATGTGCCGATAGAAAGGGTTGCTAGGCATACAAATACCTAGGAACCTGGATTTCAGAAATAATGATCAAACAACCGAAATAAGAGCTAGGATAAAAATAGCAAGAAATGCGTTTGTAAAAATGAAAACAATTCTCTGCAACAAAGATCTTAGATTAGAACTGAGAGTAAGAGCACTGAGATGCTACGTGTTTTCGATACTGCAATATGGACTTGAAAGGTGGACATTAAAGCAAGAACACATAAATAAGTTACAGTCCTTTAAAATGGGGTGTTACAGGAGGATGCTTAGAATAGCATGGACACAGAAGAAAACTAACACGGAAGTATTGCGAGAAATGGGCAAAGAATGCGAAATAATAAACACAATACAAATAAGAAAGTTACAGTATCTGGGACACGTAATGAGGGGATAGCGATATGAACTACTAAGGCTGATAATACAGGGAAAAGATAAGAGGAGGAAGGAGTGGAGGAAGAAGGAGAGTGTCATGGTTGAAGAATTTAAGGGACTGGTTTAAATGCAGTTCTATAGAACTCTTTAGAGTTCTATAGAACTCCAACCTCCGATTGGGAGACGGCACTTTAAGAAGATGATGATCAATCTTAACCCTGACTTTACAAAAACTATTTTTATTGTACTATTCTTTATTTATACAAAAAAACACATTTTAACAACTAAAAATGTAATTCAGAACAATTTATAAAAAAAAAACAAAATTTAATTTAACATTCTTTTATACAGTAAAACCTCCGTTAACCGAAATAATTGGGGGGGAGGCCGTTTCGGATAACAAGAATTTCGGTTAAAAATTGTTTTCTTAAACATTTTTAACATTTAGTATTTTTGGTTAAAATATTGGTATTAAAAAATACTATGAGGTGATTTCGTAATGTTTTCTAATAAGTAAATACAGAATAAAGTAATAAAATTAAGAAAAATGATCAAGTTTAACATGCTTTTTTAAAGAAATCTATTTTCTTTTTCGTTATCGTTTGACAACGATGTTTTGCAGCTATATATCTCCATCGTTCATTTGCAGAACGTCGTGAGTTTGTCTCATTTCATTGTTCGACGAAACGTAAAGGAATCTGAAAAGGACAAAACTTTATGCAATGACAACAAAAATTAAGAAGCTAGTCTTGTCACTAACTAATTAGGCCTACTGTATAAAATTCTTATCCTTAAGGCATTGAAAATCTCGTCGGCGGTCTCATGCTGCCTGTTGTTTGTTGGTTTGTCATCTTCGTCGTCTGATACGCTCAGGTTTTCTGGACGAAGAACCATATCAATGATGTCCTGGTCGATGAATTACTTTCTGAGTCATCGGCTCTCACGTATTTCTTCTTGGTTAATTTTGTCACATCCCGGAAAAATTTTTATTAAAGGTTTAATTTCTTCTGTCGTTTCTTTACCATTCTCTTCTTTAGGATCGTCAATCAAAATCCAATCAAAAAGTTAGTTCCAGCATTTTTCCAAAGTTGAAGAGCTGATCTTGGCCCAGAACTCAGCACACCGACAACATGTTTCATTGTTGAAGATTTGAGAATTTCGGGAACACTTTTGGGTTAATTCATCTCCTGTAATAACAGATGTCTTAATAATGCTCCTTTATAATGTCTCTTGAATATCTCTATTACTCCCTGGTCTAACAGCTGAATTAAGCTCGTGACATCATCAACTAGCCTCTAACGTCCACTGCTGAACATAGGCCTCTCGCATGCTCTTCCACTTAGTCCGATTTTGCGCCATCTGAATCCAATTTGTAGTCACTCTTTTTATGTCATCTGTCCATCTCGTTGGGGGTCGACCTCTATTTCTGTATGCTTGTATTCGGGGTCTCCATTCCAAAATTCTTTTTGTCCACCGGTCATCAACTGATCTTGCTACATGACCTGCCCAGTTCCACTTTAGTGTTGTTATCCTTTCAATAACGTCTGCTACTCCTGATCTTTTGCGTATAGTAGCATTGGGTATTCTATCACGTAGAGAAATCCCTAACATAATTCTCTCCATTGCTCTTTCCGCAACTTGTAGTTTACTCACTGTTGTTCTTGTGAGCGTTAGGGTTTCTGCGCCGTAGGTCATCACTGGCAAAATACATTGATTAATGCTCGTGACAGTCGGTAGCAAAATTGTTAACAAGCAACAATGCTTTGATGGGAAGGTTTTTTTTATTTTAAAAAGGATTTTACACTTGGGATAAATTCATTTTCGAACCATTCTGAAAATAAAGTGGTCGACATCCATGAGTTTTTTTGGCTTCTATAAAAAACTGGAAGTGCAAATTTCTCAATTATCTTTTAGAGCTCTTAGTTTTTTTGACATCCCAACGCACGTCGGCATCAATTGGTGAGTGAAATTAATGGAATTGTTTACGTTTTGCGATAAAAATTTACTTTTTATTGACGAAATTATTGAAATTGTCAGCCGTTTCGGTTAAACGATGTTTCGGTTAAAAAGGTTTCGGTTAAGGGAGGTTTTACTGTATTAATTTTTCCGAGAAAATGATATTTTCGTATCCTATCAGAAATCGTCTCAAGTGTCGGATCTGGTAGTAAGGCTAACTTAACCATCACAAATAAGAAATACTAATAATGTAAAACAATTTCAAATTTATAACATTTAAAGGGTTTTTACCCATATATTTTGGTGGCTACTAGCATGTACAACCGTTTGCACTGATGATGGATTGTTTAATCCGAAAACGTTTTGCAATGTGTTTGTGATAGCCCGTTTGAGGCATTTTTATATACCTTTTATAAAGGATTTTAACAAAATTTTTTTACGGCAACTACTTTCTTGAAGAGAACAGTGGATATGCCATTTTCAATTATTTTGAAAATCTTCCTCGGTCCTAATGATTTAAGGCCTTGAACTTCGATTTCTTCTCCTTCTAAAACTCCTTTTACCTGACAGACATAGCGAAATTACGTCTTTTTCAGAGAACTAGACAAAAATCTCACTAAAAGGAATTTTCCCTTCGTGATGTTTTCTAATGAAGGACAGGAGTGTTCAACCTCCTCTTCATCTTTGTTAATATCAACATCACTGTGCTGTCAAATAATTCCAGGTTTTCATTTGAATCACCCTCACTGAACTCCTCTGATGGTTTAGGTGCTGTAACACTTTGACCAAGTTCAGCTGCTAACAGTCTTCTTTTACGTTTAGGTTTTTCAGAGCCGGAATTGTACTTCCAAGTCTTTCAAAAAGTTAGTAAGAGAGCATCTAAGCTCGGTTTGATCAATATCGAAAAGCTACCACAATCGTCTTGTGGTAGCTTTTCCAAAACTCGATTGGGGTTGATGGTGCAATGCAACATGCTTCAAAACCAGAAAGTAAATTTCTTTTTACAGCACTTTTCTCTCCGTCTGGATTTTTAGGTGGTACTTAGTAGTTTAGTACAGACTAAAGCAAGTCTGGAAATTAACTTGTAGACGTAGAATCGTTCACAACAAAAGAAGAGAAAGTAGAAGATTTAGAGATCAAGGAGAACTCCTGATTTTTCCAAGGTCCATTACCTGATTTTACAATAACAAAAATACATAACTAGAAGAAAATACGAGTATTAATCAAAGACGGATAAACAAGAACAGCGAGTTGATACAAATTTTATTTAAAATTTTTAAGCGTTGTTTCTGAGATAACAGTTCATTCTACCAAAAAAGTGCTAATAAATATTTCTGTTCAAAACTATCTGAGCTAAATTTTTATTTATATTATGGAGGGGGTTTTACGGTGAAGCTGAAGGGTAAAACTGCTAATTTTTTTGCATCGTTAGGCCTACAATTGACATTCTCAGCAAAATTCAGCTTGTTCGTATGATTTTTAGAGGTTCTGTGCCATTTTCATCTCTGGCGACTGGAGTATAAGTAGATAATTCCGCATTAGCAACTAGAAATTTTTTTTTGTTTTTTGTTAAAAAGATAATTTCTTTGACGTAATAAACATTTTAATCCGTGTTTTTTGTGTTTTTTTGCAGGAAAAGCTGAAAAGAAGCTACAAATAATTTTTAAATGCAATTGGTTTAAGAATGATTCAGAACCTCATTATAAAGTTCCACAGATACAAGGTAAAAATTATAAATTTGAAATGGAATCGTGGCACGCGTGTGTGAAATTACCGCCAACTTGTGAGGTAAGATAATTTGATTGAAGTTAATATTAATTGTAACAATAAAACACTGAAAACTTTGTTTTCAAACTTCCACAAATTTTATTTTAAACTCTTATCACTACAGCTGTTTCAGCTGATTGCCTTTCTCAAGTGATCTATGTTTGGCATGCATTTACACTTTATAGTCTCTAATGAAATAGGTTGAAGAGGGTAGAACTGTTTGTCTTAAGTTGATCATTCAGAATTATATCTGTGTTTTTTAATTTGTTGATTTCCATAGTTTCTAACAAGGATAGCTTAAGGCCTTTATTTTGAATGTGAAGAATTTTAAATTCGTCATTACAAGAATGATTGTGATCTAGAAGGTGAAGTGCGTATGTAGAATCTGTTTTTCTATTTTTGAAAGCCCTTTTATGTTCTGCTATTCGTTTATCAAAGTTTCTACCAGTTTGACCAATGTAAGTTTTTGGGCAGTCGCCACATTTCAGTTTGTACACACCACTGTGTAAGTGTTTTTTATTTTGGCTCTTGTTGTTTTTAATATATTTGTCTAGGATTTTATTTGTTCGGAAATCGGGTGTTATTCCTTTATTTTTTATGTATTTGGCTATATTTGTTAATATTTTGTCTGTATTATGTAATCGAGCAGAAGGTACTGGGTTTTTTCTCTGGTGGTGGAAATACTAATTTCAGGGCTTTCTTGTGTAGTTTTTTATTTAACATTTTATTAATTGAAAAAGCCTCATATAATCCTTAACAGATCATAATAATTAATAATACCTATAGAAAATCTTATCCCAGATCATCAGTTTGGTTTTCGCTCAAACCACTCAACCATACAACAGTGCCATAGGTTAGTCAACAAAATAAAAGAGAGCCTAGAAGGGAAACAAATCTGTCTATCAGCATTCTTCGATATACAGCAAGCATTTGATAAAGGCCCATTCCTTTACCAAATCTTCATTGCTGATTTTCCTATTAGCGAAAATACACTAATGGCAACATTTGCGGATGACACTGATATACTAGCATCAGATATAAATGAAATATTAGCATTAAACATATTGCAAAATCATCTCAATGAACTAGAATACTGGATGACACTGATATACTGAATACTGGATTAAATGCTGGAAAATAAATGTCAACACAAACAAATCTTGTCAAGTAAATTTCACAAATCGAAGAATTAGATGTCCACAACTACACCTAAATAATTCACCTATACCAATAAAAACAGAAGTAAAGTACCTGGGCCATCATCTAGATGAAAAACTTACTTGAAAATCACATATTGCAGTCAAACGACGACACCTCGACCTAAAAGTTAAAAATATGAGCTGGCTAATCAACAGAAGATCGCAACTTGTATTAGAAAACAAACTAACCATCTATAAAACAATACTCAAAGCAGTGTGGACATACGAAATTGAGCTGTGGGGCTGTAGCAAACCATCCAACACCAAAATACTGCAGACATTCCAGTAAAAGACTATTCGTATGTTAGCTAAAACCCCATGGTATGTGTCAAAACAAACCCTGCATGCAGACCTCAACATCCCCTTCATCAATAATGTTATTGCTGACCACTTTAGAAGATACATGAATCGCATCGCAGACCATCCAAACCATCTCATAGACGAATTATTAACCCCCCACTGGTTGACAGACGTCTAAAAAGACTGGTCAGAAGACCTAGCTACTAGGTAAATTCCAGAGAGTCGTTCCAATGGTCGACACCTGCCACAAGCTAAGAACATACATCATATTTACTTATTACTGTATTGAAGTAGATTGTAAATTAGCAATTAATAAATAAATAAATAAATAGATAAATAAATAAAAATTCTTCAGTAGATTCGGATGTCGGTGCGTAGATCTGAATGATTAGAGGGACTGGATTTATTCTTCAATAACACAACACTGTCTGATATGCGCGTAAATCCTATCAATGCTTTAGCTATTTCCTTTTTTACTATTATCGCTACGCCATTTTTGTTACGTGTTGTTTCATCTCCCGACTAATAGATAAAGTGTTCATCTATTTGGTACTCCAGAATGTTGCTATCGAACTTTACTGCATCCGTAAATATCTACTTATGTTCAGGCGTGTCGTTTCTTGAATATTGGCTGCCTTCCCTGCAAACTCCACTAAATCGTGTTTATTACTACTTGTGTTCAAATTTTGAAGCTATTATGAAAATTATTAGTATCTAAAATGTATTACTTATAATCTACTTATTATAGATATCACTATTAACTGGTTCTTATATTTTTTAGTTCACCGATAAATTTTATAAATACAATTTAACTGGACTGTATAACCCCCAAAAAGACTATGAAATTGTGACAAATACTTCAAAAATATATTTAAATGTTTGTGGACCACTGCTATTACCTCAGAGTAATAGTTGCTCTCGTAAGTATTATTTTTTTATTTATTAGAAAGACATACACTGAGTATTATAGACCAGCATTTCTGTGTCTGATTGACCTAAAGAAAGGGTTTGGACAGAGTAAGACTCAAAAATGTAATCCATCTTCTGTATAATCGAGAAGTTTTTCTAAATATTATAAAAACTATCGAAAACATCTACTAAAACAACAAAATGGAAGTCAGAATAGATGGACAACTTAAAGAACCTTTAGAAATAGGTAGCGGAATAAGACAAGGAGACTCATGCTTTTCAATTTAATCATGGATGAAATCATGAAAAGCAATTTTCAAATGAATATTTGAGAATTGTGTTGTTGGTTCATTTTTTTAACTGGTAATTTGATTAGGGACATGTATTTTAAAATTACTCGAAGCCCCAGATGATTAAACATTGACATAATAGAGAATGATAACGATAACCTGAAGATTACCTAATATTACAACAGGATGGATTTCATCATTTCTTGAATGGAATATTTTCTACTCATTGCATTGGAAGAAAAGGATTAAACGCTCTCCCCTCAAATTCCATGATTCATCCCCTGTAGATTACTATTTATTAGGGTATTCAAAAATTTAAAAAGTTCCCCTAAATATTATAAAAACCATCGAAAACATATACCAAAACAACAAAATAGAAATTAGAATAGATGGGCAACTTAGATGGACAATAGAACCTCTAGAAATAGGCAGCGGAATAAGACAAGGAGATTCATTGAGCCCCATGCTCTTCAATTTGATCATGGATGAAATCATCAAAAGCATTAAAAAAGGAAGAGGAACAAAATGGAAAACAAAGAAATAAAAATACTCTGTTACGCAAACGACGCAATATTGATAGCCCAAGATGAAGATAATCTGCAAAAACTGGTCCACAAATTTCACATAAGAACAAAAGAATTTAATATGACAAACTCATCTCAGAAAACTAAACCAATAGTGGTCAGCAAAGAACTAACCAGATGTAAAATAGAAATTGATGGCGAAACAGACACATTAACACTGAGATGAAGTCAAGAATTTATAAAGCCAGTGTAAGACCAACAATGATATATGGCTCAGAAACAAGACCCTACACAGTTACAACGCAAATGCTACTGGAAATAGCAGAGATGAGAGTATCATCATCATCACTGGCTCGACAACCCTTTTTTGTCATGGCCTGTTCAAGGATTCTTCTCCATTCTGACCTGTTTCGTGCTTTTTTTCCAGTTTTTAATTTTTAATGTTGTTAGATCATTTTCTAATCCAATCCAACGTAGCCTTCCTATTTTAATGAATGTTATGATATCCAGATCCTGGTATATGTTGTATAGTTCAAAGTTATACCTTCTCCGCCAAATCCCGTTTTCTTTTGTGCCCTTATATATGTGTCGCAAGATTTTTCTTTCAAAGGTGGCTAATAACGTTTCCTCCCTTTTAGAGAGTGTCCAGGTTTCTGAACCGTATGTGAGTACCGGTCTTATTAAGGTTTTGTATATTTGGCATTTTGTTTTTCTGGAGACGTTATCTGATCTTAGTTGCCTAATTAAGCCATGGTAACATTTATTGGCAATAAATATTCTCCTCTTCACTTCCTCTGCAACGTTGTTATCAGACGTAACTAGGGATCCTAAGTATGTAAAGTTTTTTACCGCCTCAATGTTGTATTCTCCTATTGTTAAATTTTTCAGCTGCCTTATTTGTGCGTTTTTATTTGCAGGCATATATTTTGTTTTTGTCTGATTGATTTTAAGACCACTATTTTTTGCAGCTCGTTCTATTTGAGTGAATGCCTCTATCATTTCTCTTCTTGATCTTGCGATTATGTCAACATCATCTGCAAATGCTAGTACTTGCACGCTTTTTATTAATTATTGTTCCTCGGGTATTAACTGTTGTGTCTCTTATTATTTTTTCAAGTATGATGTTGAATAATATGCATGATAGAGCGTCTCCCTGGCGTAGCCCTTCTTCACATCTATTGTTTCCGTTAATTCGTTTTGTATCCGGATTTTACTTTCTACTTTTAGTGTTTCTTTTATCAATTCTATTAGCTGTGTTGGTATATTAAATTCTTTCATTGCTTTTGTTAGGAATTCTCGGTTTATATTGTCATATGCGCTTTCGAAGTCTATGAAGAGATGGTGTGTGTCGATGTTATATTCACTTGTTTTTTCAAGGATCTGTCGCAGAACAAATATCTGGTCTATTGTTGACTTCTGTCTACAGAAGCCACATTGGTATTTGCCAACTATTTTTTCAGCGTATGGTCTAAGTCTTTCATACATTACGTTGGACATTATTTTGTATGCCGCATTCAACAGCGTGATTCCACGGTAGTTTTCACATTCTAACTTACTTACTTACTTACTCCGTGGCGTTACAACCCTTCGTGGGTTTTAGCCGACTCGACAACATGCCTCCACTGTTTTCTGTCTTGAGCAACCTCCATCCAATTCTCCACGCCCATAGTGCTTAGGTCTCCTGCTATATTATCTCGCCACCGGAGACGAGGGCGTCCGCGTGGTCTCCTTCCAGTTGGGACTTCCTGCCACACCAGTCTTACTGTTCGTTCGTCAGAATGTCTTCTGAGGTGTCCTGTCCATTGGAGTCTTCTGGACTTTATTTCTTTTATGATGTTGGCGTCTGGGTAAAGTTCTTCAAGCTCTTTATTAGTTCTTATCCTATATTGTCCTGATGTTTCATCAAGCACCGGACCAAAGATCTTCCTTAGGATTTTTCTTTCCCAAACACGTAGTCTCTCTTCATTTGCCTTTGTCATCGTCCACGTTTAGCTTCCATACATCACAACGGGTCGTATGATTGTTTTATAGACCTGTATCTTCGTACGTCGTGTTAGTTGTTTTGATTTTATAAGGTTTTGGAGGGCAAAAATACATCTGTTGCCGGCCTAAATCCTGTTGTTTATTTCTTGTGATCCGTTATTGTCTTCAGTTATTGTTGTTCCAAGATACTTGAATTCCCTAACGCGCTCAAAGTTAAAGTCATCGATGGTAATGTTCTGACCGATTCTGTCTCTGCTTTGGTTATTGCGGCTCATATACATATATTTCGTCTTGTTTTCGTTGATTTGGAGCCCCATCTTCTCTGCTTCCTTCTCAAACCTTACGAAAGTCTCCTTCATCCTTAATCGCGTGTTTTCCTATTAGATCTATATCGTCTGCAAATGCCAGTAGTGGCATTTGCATTCTAACTGGTTTCCTTTTTTATGTAGTGGTACAATAATGCCGCTATTCCACTCCTTTTGTAGCTGTTTATTCAACCATATCTTTCTTATCAGCTCATGTATGGCTTTAAGTAATGCGTCTCCTCCTTCTTTCAGTAGCTCCGATGATATTTGATCCGATCCCGGTGATTTATTGTTCTTTAATTTGTCCACTGCTGTTCTAATCTCTGCTATTGTTGGTGGACTCTTTTCTCTGTTGTCTGCTTGGTCTAACGGTATATCAGGGTTCATCTCCGTCCTATTCACCCCAAGCTTTTCCTTAAAATGTTCTGTCCATCTTCTAAGTATCTCTTGCTGTTCTGTCAATATATTACCCTCCTTATCTTTACACATCGTTGTTCTCGGTTTGAACTCTTTTCTGCTTTTGTTGAGTTTCTGGTAAAATTTTCTTGTCTTTGTTGGTTTACTTAGTTCTTGTAGTTCTAGAAGTTCTTTGTTGATATATTCTCTCTTCTTTCTTCGGTGAATTTTCTTTTCTTCTTTACGTAGTTGTTTTTATTCTTCCTCTGCTTGTCGGGTTCTGTGCCTCTGTTGCATCTGTAGATATGCTCTGTTTTTTCTTTCCGTTATAGTTTGACATTCTTCGTCAAACCAGTGATTCGTTCTTGTTCTTCTTTCTTTACCTTCCATGCCCAACACCTCTTTAACTGTTTCTTTTATGATTTCTCTGCACTCTTCCCACTCCTCATTTAGGTTTACATGTTTTAGTCTGTTTTCTAGTTTGATGCTTATATTTTCTTTGTACTCTCTATTTTTGTTTGTTTCTTTGAGTCCTTCTATATTGTATCGTTCATGTTTAGAGCCTCTTTCCTTTTTGATGTTTGAAATTCTAGCCCTTATCCTACTTTCGACTAGATAGTGATCAGAATCCGCATTTGCCCCTCTTCTGGTACGGAGAGAGATGAGAGTACTGAGAAGAATTACACGAAATACGCTCAGAGATCGAAAAAGAAGTGAATACATTAGAAGAAAATGTAACGTAAAGAGTATAAATGAATGGACACAAAATAGAAAAAAGAATAGAATAACCACATAAACAGAATGAAGAAGACCCGTGTCGTCAAAAGGGTAAAAGAAGTATCGGACCACGCAAAAGATGGAGTGTCAACCTTTCATAGAGGTATTTATCCGCCAATGAACAAGCAGAATTGCTTATAAAGAGGAAGAAGAATAAGACATTTCGATTTCCATTCCTCAAAAACCAAAATGGTATACAAATTATTGAGCAGCTGCGATCCATTAATAAATAAATTATGCATATATCTTTCAGGAATTGTTGGCCCTGCCATATATTTTGTTTTTTGGATATTTACTAAAGTCACACAGGTTTTGAAGCTTTCTGTAGCTGTGGCAATGCTGCTCTATTTAAATACCAATAGTATTGTAAAATTTTTCCAGAATTAACTTTAACAGAATGCAAGAGAGTATATCACCTTGTCGAACGCCATTATTAATTGTGATTGTGTGGACGGATCTCCTCCTGACAAAACTTTGTTGTCTACATTTTCTGTAGTTAGTTTTAAGTTTACCAAGTAATTTGGTAGTACAAACTCGTATAGCGAATTTTAAAGGCCTACCTGTTTATGCTATCATAAACAAATTTACATAAAATCAACAAATATGTTATTATCGTATGTGCAAGTACCATATTTCTTTGTCTTTTCCGGAATTTGATTTTCTATAATTATATTCGGCCTCATCTCATAAATAAATAAATTGTAGTACCTCCGCCTCTGGCAATTGTCCACACTTTTAAAGAAGAAACAACCCACTTAAACTTCGTCTCATACCGTCTCGAGGCCAAAACCCTTCAGTCTTCGTTTCTTGTGTAATGGTTCACACAGCGCGTAAAATTAATTCGGCACCGAATTACCGAAAAATAATGTTTAAACAGGTGGGAAAACGAAAAATAAATCGATCACTAGATCGCAAGAATATACAAAATTGTAAAAGTATTGGTTCAAATTGTTGTTTCAGAGGAGAATCAGGATAACAATATACAAATACATAAAGGTAGGTGGTAATAAATGTTATCGCAATTTGTTGGAACAAATTCTATAAATCTACTATATTCCGTTTCTCTGATCAGGTCCTCAGGTCTGAAAACTCTCACGTCATCTAAAGTTTCGTGCAGTGTAATCACTGGATGAATTGCGTTCGATGGATGTATTTTATGCAATTGACAAGAGAGGGTCAAAGACGAATTACTGACACCTATAAAATAACTGGAACATATTGACACAGATACTAAGTATTGTTCTGAAGCTATTTTCTTGTGGCATTTTAAATTAATTACTATTTAACTGGGAATAAGCCACAATTAAAGAAATGTGGTTTATTGTGGCTTATTCCCAGTTAAATAGTAATTAACAGATACTAAGATTGATTAACTGTAATATTCTCGCCATTCAACTTCAGATTAATAATCTTACTGATAAATTTAAAATATTTAGAAGCAACAAAGTGAAAGACTGAAGGGATCAAAATCTTTTGTTGGTTCTACTTTAAATGTGAGAAATTTTTAAGGATTTGTCGTGACTTTGGTATTATCGCTCTTAATACATGCAGCCAAACTTGAAGTTATCTACATTTAATTATTAGAAACCAGCCTATTTGCCAGAATTCCATAGTTATTAGTTTAAACAGGTGGTTTAGTCAATATATGGAACTCTTCTTTTGAATCCTTTCGTTTATTTTAAACTGGAATATTGAAATTACTACGATTTCTAAAAGTTAATACTTTGCAGGCACTTATTCACAGGTATGTTGGTCTAGCAATGGAGACTGGAAAAGTAAAGGTAGACTGTATACAGAACCAGTAGTGCATAAGGATGATAATCACGATGATGTTATTATTATGAAATTTATTAGTAAGTATTAAAATTTTAAGGTTTTACATTATTTATATTATTAACAAACAGTCTGATTAATTGAAAATCAGACACAACTTTTTATATTTATGAACTGTATATTTTATGGAACGACATATCGCCGAATATAAAGTTTTGGAGGTACTTCATACCGTCCTCAATTTGTCCTACCTCCTACTTCTAGCACCGACGTGATCGACTGACTTGGTGCAGAAAACGGCTGAACTACGACCTCGAATGGAATACCATTGTCTTGGGTGATGAATCCAGATTCTGTTCGGGCATGCATGATGGCCGCGCATGGGTGAGAAGGCGACGTGGTGTAAGACGAGTTTCTCAATTTTCTATGGAAACACATATGCACCACACTGGTGGAATTATGCAAGGTCACCTTTGGTGTTTATCAGAGGCAACAGGACAACGGTGCGTTACATCTAGGAGGTGGTGAAGCCACATGTTCTGGCTTATATACGGATATAAGATAATAAAGTCTATTTGTTGTCTTGGCCTGCTAGATCTCTCGATCTTTCACTTATTGAACACGTCAGTATCATCAATCATTTCTTTGATTTCATGTAATTTATCTTGCAAGCAAAGCGTTCTAAGAACGCGTTTTAGTATATAAAACATATTTCCTTCTTTGTTTTTCGAAGTTAAAGTTAATTTTAAAGTATAGTTAAAAAACATGTATAACTTCTTACAATATATTAACATTTAAAATTTGTATTTTATTTTAAGGTGGAGATGAGTGCAAGATAAATGAAAGTGTTAGTATACATATGACAACAATATATTTTAAGTGCTCGAAAACGGAAGAAAAACCAACTTTTATTAAGGATAGCAACTGTGAATTACAATTGAGCTGGAAGACACCAAAGGCATGCCCTGTAAATGTAAGTAAAAAAGTGTTAAGTTTAAACAGGTGTAAAGGTGTGAGGTATTAAGTAAACATGTATGTTTTCTTGCATTTTACATCCTTACTTACTTACTCCATGGCGTTACAAGCCTTCGTGGGTTTTAGCCGACTCGACAACGTGCCTCCACTGTTTTCTGTCTTAAGCAACCTCTATCCAATCCTCCACGCCCATAGTGCTTAGGTCTCCTGCTATATTATCTCGCCACCGGAGACGAGGGCGTCCGCGTGGTCTCCTTCCAGTTGGGACATCTTCCCACACCAGTCTTACTGTTCGTTCGTCAGAATGTCTTCTGAGGTGTCCTGTCCATTGGAGTCTTCTGGACTTTATTCCTATGATGTTGTTGGCGTCTGGATAAAGTTCTTCGAGCTCTTTGTTAGTTCTTATCCTATATTGTCCTGATGCTTCATCCATCACAGGACCAAAGATCTTCCTTCGGATTTTTCTTTCCCAAACACATAGTCTCTCTTCATTGTTTTATAGACCTGTATCTTCGTACATCTTGTTAGTTGTTTCGATTTTATAAGGTTTTGGAGGGCAAAAAGACATCTGTTGCCGACCTGAATCTTGTTTTTTATTTCTTGCGGTCCGTTATTTATTGTCTTCAGTTATTGTTGTTCCAAGATACTTGAATTCTCTAACGCGCTCAAAGTTAAAGTCATCGATGGTGATTTTCTGACCGATTCTGTCTCTGCTTTGGTTATTGTGGCTCATATACATATATTTCTACTTGTTTTCGTTGATTTGGAGCCCCATGTTCTCTGATTTCTTCTCGAACCTCACGAAAGTCTTCTTCATCCTTAATCGTGTGTTTCCTATATATACAAGGGTTACTTTCGTGACATCCATCTCGTAATTGAAAACAAGAATGAATGTAGAAAGCCTGGACGCATGTGCGGCCAACGTAGAAGCAACATTGCTTCTACATTAGCCGCTCATCTGGGTCGCATTTTAGGTCGGACTCTATGCGATCAAGGACCAACCAGTAGTCATAGCCGGAGCCGCTGTAGTGCGCGTTAGCTCTAATCACGACAAAGTTCACCGGACAGTATGCTAACTAATGAAAACTACTGAACTAGTATGCCTATTTCTTGATGTATTATTCTTTTCCATTCCTTTTGGTCAGTTGCTTTTCTTTTTCAGTTTTTTACATTAAGTCTTCTCATATCTTCTTAAACTCCGTTTCTCCATTTTGACCTCGGTCTTGATGCACTAGAAAGTATTATTCTGGGAATTCTACATTTAACTATTCTCCGAACGTGGCCCAACCATTAAGTCTTTGAGCCTTAATTACTACTAATATGTTAAATTCTTTCTCTTTCACCTCTTGGGTTATTTCTTGTTCCCTTGAGTTGAGTGATCTGATATTCCAAAGAGTGATTCTCATCTGGGTTTTGGATGCTTTTCGCTTATCCTTATTTCTTGCCGTAGTCATCTTCATAGTATCAATCCGGTTCCGAGGCTGTACATTGTTTCTTTAAGCAGATTTTGTTTTTACGATTGGTAGGTTACTAATCACCCTCCACATTTTAACCGGGCTTGGGACCGGCGGTGGTAATAGCAGAGCTACTCCGCAATCACCCCAGGCATTGTTAAGGAAGCCTGGAAGCCTTCCCAAAGGAAGCATTAAGGAAATTAAAAAATAGAAAATCGCCAGGAGAGGACAGAATACCGAACCTAAAGTACGGAGGACCAGATCTTACTACTAGAGGAACTAATCCAAAAAATAATAGAACAAAACAAAATTCCTCAAGAATGGAGATCAAGTATCCTAATACCTCTCTTCAAAAAGGGAGACAAATCAGACCTGGAAAATTACAGAAGAATTAATTTATTAAACACAACACTAAAATTAACAACCCAAGTGATAATAAATAAATTGAATGAAATGATAACACTAGCAGAAGAACAATAAGGTTTTAGGTCGGAAGATCATGTACCGACGCTATATTTATAGTGAGGCAAGTGCAAGAGAAATCATTAGAATACAACAAACTGACATATCTATGTTTCGTGGACCTCGTGGGCATTTGACTGGGTCAAATTAAAAGACTTTATGCACTTACTGTACACAAGAGAGATACCTCTAGGAATAATTAAAACGATCGAAAATATCTACCAAAACAACACAATAAATGTAAAAGTAGAAGAACTAACCGATCCTATCGAAGCTGGCAATGGGGTAAGATAGGGAGATTCATTGAGGTCTCTATTGTTCAACCTAATTATGGATGAAATAATAAAAAAAGTAAGAACTAAAAAAGGATACAAAATGGGAGAAAAACAACTTAAAATAATCTATGCAGACGACGCAATACTACTCACTCAAAGTGAGATGATTTACAACGTATGCTGCACCAATTTAATATATCCGCCAGAAAATTTAACATGTTAATTTCCCCAAAAAAGACAAAATGCATGATTACAACACCAAATTTACTAAGATGTAAATTGGAGATGGAAGGTAGATAATAGAACAAGTGATGGAGTTTAAATATCTAGGCATCACATTATCTAGCTACGGAAAGCTCAAAACCGAAGTGAAAGATCAAGTGAATACAGCAAACAGAGCTGCGAGCTGCCTAAATGAAACAATATGGAGAAATAAAATATCGAGAATGAAATCAAAGCAGAATTTACAAAACAGTCATCAGACCATTAATGACATACGCGACAGAAACAAGACCTGACTCAATACTTAAAAATACTTTTTGATGGTAAGACACTATGGGACAGGGCTAGAAGTATAGATAATATACGACGTAGATGCAAGGTGGAGAACATCACAAACTGGATAAGAAATAGACGAGCAGAATGAAACGATCATATAAGCCAAATGACAACAAATATAGTAGTAAAGACGGCAAGAGACGGTTCTCCAATAGGAAGACCACGAAAACGATGGAATGACAACTTACTGGAGGCACATTGAAAAACAGACAGTCATGTCTATATAAAAAGAAAAAAATGTTAGCTTCTTGATAGAGTTCAATTAACTCATTATTTGTGCTTCTTATCCATTGTCCGTTTAAGTTTTTTCCAGTAAAGATTGGACCAGATGAGATCTCGTCAGAAATACTCAAATTACTAGATGAAAGGGGAATTTCAGCACTACACAAAATATTTAATTTAATTTATGAAACTGCCTGCTATCCTCAACAGTGGTTACGCTCTACCTTTATTCCCCTACCCAAGAAAGTCAATGCAAAAAGATGTGAGGATCACAGACTCATTAGCCTGATGAGTCACACTTTAAAGATATTCTTAAAAATACTACATCAAAGATTATACAAAAAATGTGAATGGGACATCAGTGATTCCCAGTTCGGGTTTAGGCAAGGTTTAGGAACACGAGAAGCAATAGTAGCAACACAGGTGCTGGTCCAAAATTGTTACGATCAGAGGAAGGATGTGTTCCTATGCTTTTTAGATTACCAAAAAGCGTTTGATCGTGTCCAACACCACAAGTTAATGCAGATTCTCAAGAAAGTTGATATAGACCAAAAAGACATAAGATGCATTGAAAACTTGTACTGGCATCAAACGGCACAGCTAAAAATAGACAATTCTATATCCAAGTCCATACATATAAGAAGAGGCGTTCGACAGGGATGTGTGCTTTCCCCTCTTTTATTTAACATTTATTCGGAAGCCATATTTCAAGAGTCTTTGGAGGATGCAGAGATGGGAATCAAGGTGAATGGAGTAATGATCAACAACATACGATATGCTATGATGGTGTCTTAATTTGTGACAACATAGTCGATCTTCAACAACTTCATTCATGATCATCTCCAGAAACTTGGATGCACTTGAAAACTCCACCATAACACTGAATAGTAAATCCATAGAAAGAGTGAGTAAATTTAAATACCTGGGATCATGGCTTTTTGAAGACTGGGCATCGGACAGGGAAGTAAAATGTCGCATTGAGCAAGCTCGACAAGCTTTCGTAAAATTCAAGAAGGTACTGACTTGTTCAGAGTTCGATCTTCAACTGAGACTAAGGTTTACTAAGTGCTACGTATGGTCAGTGCTGCTATATGGCGTAGAGGGCTGGACACTCAAAACGAGGGATATAAACAGATTAGAAGCTTTCGAAATGTGGCTTTATCGCCGTATCCTAAAAATACCATGGACAGCGAAAATCACAAATATAGATGTCCTTAAAAGAATAAACCAAGAACGCCAACTTTTCGAAACCATCAAGAAAAGGATAACGGCGTATCTAGGTCACATCATGCGAAATGAAAAATACCAGTTCCTCCAACTTATAATCGAGGGTAAAATTGAAGGCAAGAGAGGAATGGGACGCAAGAAAATGTCCTGGCTTCGAAACATAAGGCAATGGACAGGGATTAACGACATACAATCTCTGATACATATTGCAAGAAATAGAGAATTAATGGAAAATGTGATCGCTAACATCCATTAGTGGATTTGCATCTGAAGAAGAAGAAGAAACCAATAACCACTTCTGGTGTTTTTTTTTGTAGTGACCCATGTTTCAGAAGCATACGTCACGATCGGCCTTGTTACAGTCTTGTAGGTCCTTAGTTTTTCTTTTCCAGATATATTTTTGTTTCTTAACAACCGTTTGCCCGACATAATTCTTCTCTGTATTTTTTCTTCACATTTAGGTTCTCTTATTCTCTTCACATTTCCTAAGTACTCAAATCTTTCTTCAACATCTTCGAATTTATATTATGTTCTCTTTATTGTTTGTTTGTATTACCCTCGAACGAATTGTTTATTTGTCAATTTCATATACTTTGTTTTTGCTTCATTTATATACAATGTTTTCGTCGTTGCCCTCTCTTCGAGTTTTATAATTATCAGTTCTATTTTACTTCTAGCCAAGATTACCAAATGTCTGCAGATGCTAAGCACTGATGTTATTTGTGGTAAATCAGATGTGTTCTCTTAATATTCACTTCCTCTATAATCGTTTCTAGTATTATGCTAAACATTATAGGAGATTATGGATCGCAAGTGCGACCCTGTCGCACTCCTTCTTTCACCTCAATGCTTTCTGTTATATTATTGTTTATTGTTTATTTTGATTTTATTCCTTGTCCTTTGGAGAGTTCTTTTGACTCCATCGAAATCCTGTTTAAAATAAATTAACAGAACAATCCTGTCTTTATTCTATTCATAACTTTCAGCCTGTATTTCATGTAGTGTGACGACCTGATCCACAGTACGTCTACCTTTTCTTAACCCACACTGATATTCACCTATCCTTTTATCAAGCTTCGTTGCTTTTATCAAGCTCGTTGTTCTTAATATGCATAGCCAATATTATATGTGACAGTGCTATGTTTCGATAATTCTGACGTTCAACCGTATGTCCGTTTAGTGGATAGGGCATAGTATTCTGTCTGTCTATTCCTCTGGTAGTACTTCTTATTGCCATGTATATTTAATTAGCTTCTGGATTTTATCTGCTAACTGATTTCCTCCAAATTTAATCATTTCAGCCATTATAGTCACTTCATGGGCTCTTGTCCATTTTTAAGTTATCGATAATATTTTGGATTTCATTTATAGTCAGAGCTTGGTCTTCGTTTTGTTGCTTTTGATTTGGTTTTGGTGCATTTGGTATATTCATTGCTTTCTTGTTATGATCATCAGTCTGTTCAGCTCCATTTAGAAGCTCATCAGTCTCTTATAATCATTTTTCATTATTTTCTTTTATCATTTTTTATTTCTGAGTACAGTAGTAATTTGAATTAGTAAGTGCTTTTGGCTGCATGGATCTACTTCTAATAATTTATACATCTAAACAGTCTGATAATCAACATACGCCAAATATAATTTGATAAGATTATAATTTTGACAAGAAAAGACATGAATTGTTTACTAAACTAAAGAATTTCAAATTTTAGAATATAGAAAACTGCTCAGCTGATACTCCTGTGAACAACCAACATTTTGAATGTACATATAGCAATAAATATGATACATACAATCTAAGTAAACTGTATAGACAAAACGGTTATATAATTCGAAATATTACTGAGAATGAGGAATATCTTCTAAATGTGTGTGGTCCAGTTTTAAGCCATGACGCTCCATGTAAACAGAACTCGATGGTTGCGATTCGCAATTTACGTGAATATTATAACCTTAAGAAAAAGTAAGTACATAATCTTATTTACAGAGAAAAATTAAGAAGTATAAATCATATCTTGATAGAAAATATACTAATCATATAAAATCATTGTTCATTTCTAGTGAAGGGGACAGTGAACAAAACGTGAGGTTGTAAAATTTGTCTATTAATGAGTAAATCAGTTATCTTTCTAGTAGGTATCAACGTGAACATACTTTTTTATTATGTTTAATTGCTGAGGTATGAGATCTTAAAGATATGAAAGTTGAGGTTCTCCCAATTAAAGCGTTCTGTATATAAATAGGTAATTCGAAAAGACGTGATCGTCATTAGTTTAGCAGTTAAACCGTATGTAATACTCTGTGTCAACATGCTAAAATACTTCTAGAACTACAAAAAAAATTTGTAAGCCTTCTATGGTATTGGAAAACACTATTGTATCATCTGCATACCGCAGGTTATTGAGCTCGACTCCATTTATTGAAATGCCTTCATCAATATATTTTAGAGCCTCTTTAAAAATTATGCACCCTGTCTCACTCCCCTTAAGATAGCCCTAAAGTCAATAGATAAGGATCTCTATAAGCAAAATTTCATCTTAGCCATGGGCTCATCTTTCTCTTTATTATTAGCAGATATATTCATGAAGGATTTCAAACAAAACATTGCACTCACAGGGCAAACAACTCACAGTATGGTGGAGATATTTAGATGAGTTGTTTTCCATTTGGCCTCACGGACCAGAAGCAGTGAACAAATTTCTAATGGACATCAACAATAAAACAGAATAAATCAAATTCACCACGTAAAAAAAAAATCAAAAATTAACTCCCTTTTCTTTATGTATTAATCGCCAAAGAAGACACAGGATTACCCAAATTTACAGAAAATCAACTCATACCAACAGATATTTACATCAGATCATTATATGATATAGCCCAAAGCACCTGTTCTAATGAAAATGCATTTCGGGAAGAAAAATATCTGCTACCAAAGATTTTAACAAAAAATGATTACTCATTGTCATTTATAAATAAGAAATTTTACAAGATTGAAAAAAGAAAACAACAAAACACCACAAGCAATCCAGAAATGCACACAAGGAGTGCTTCAAACATGACAACAATACCATATGTAAAGGTGTAACAAAAAAGCTAACAAGAGTAGGTGGTAAAAAGCTTATCGTTCGTAGGAAAACAAAAAATATTAAATACAGCTAAATGGCAAAAATTAAGGAGTCAATAACTCTTAACCTGAGACTTACAAAGGACCCGAGATTAAATTAATTAGACATTAGGTTGACATTTCACTTAAAGATATTAAAAACGCATCAGAAAACATATTGGAGAATTATCAATGCAAAACTGCTTATATCTTCAATAAAATAATAAAAAAAAAACTTGAATAAAATAATATTATTTAAATAAAATAATAATTCTCAAAAAATGAGTTTATTAAATTTTCAAAAATAAGCAAACATGTATTTTTAATTAATACTTTAACTTTCCCAATACAAAAAATGATATTTAACATCATAAGATTAAGCTAAAAAAGTTATACTCTAGCCTATAGAATAACATATGCCAAAGTCGGACGGCAGTAGCGCACCTAGAATTTTCCTCTGGGGGGTTTTGATTGGGCACCGAAATTTTTTTATGCTACCTCCATTTTGAAGCCTTAAAATTTGTGATTAACAGTATCGGAATAATGGCTTGGGGGGTGAACCCCCAACCCCCCTGGGTGCGCCACTGCTAGTCGAAGAAATCGAAAGTTTTAGAGCTAAGAAACATCCTGCATAAAATAATTTCCATTATAAAGTCACTGTACACTGACGCGAAATGCAGCGTGACACACAATGGAATCAACAGCGACGAATGTGACATACTTACTGGAGTCAGACATGGATGCGTGCTTCCTTCGTTTTTTTTAACATAGCAGTAGACTATGTTCGATCCAAACTAGACTCAAGAGGAATACAATGGACGTTAACTACACGCCTAAACGATCTGGAATACGCCGACGATATCTGCCTGTTAGGACAAAGTTTCCAAGACGTGGCTGATCAATTGGAAACACTTTCCACTGAAGCAAATAAAGTAGGATTGAAATCAATATTAGTAAAATCAAATCAAGAAACAAAGCGCTATTTACTATCAACTTCACGTATCTTGGAAGTGACATAACAGAAAGCGGACTTACAGATCATATTCGTATAAGGATACGAAAAGCTCAACAAGCTTTCAGCATGCTTAGCCCTGTTTGGATATCTGGCGAGTATACTACAAGTACAAAGATTCGCACATTCCAGTCAAATGTCATGTCTGTTCTACTCTACGGATGTGAAACCTGGAAAGTGACAAAAACCTTTACAGATAAACTGCAGGTCTTTATTGTCTTCCTAAATGTCTCTATAAATGTCTAGAGACGAATTGTTCGTATTTCCTGGCCTATCATCATCAGAAATGAAGATTACTACACTTGACCGAACAAAAAAGAGTAGAACATCAATAAAGTCCAGAAAGTGCGATTGGATTATTCACACACTCAGAAAAAATAATTCCAGTATCACAAAGATTGCCCTAGAGTAGAATTCCCCAAGGAAGAAGAAAAAAAGGTCGCCCAGTACAGTACAAGTCGGAGAGGAAAAGGTGCATTCCCCCGTCGAAGTCACTCTTCTAATCTGCAAAAGTATGTTGAGTTGAAGTGCCGTCAACCCCGGCAAACTAAAACGATAAGCAAATGACAAAGGGCCGTGACTGGAACCTAGCATTAAATGTGTGGGGCGCTATTGGACCAAGGCCAAAAAAAAAATGTCTTTACCACAACTAAACAACTGAATCTTTACATCACAGGCTATTTCAGCGACAATTCTGAACTAACTTGACATTAGGTCTTACCATTTACTTTTATAAGTTCGGGCAAATATGATTAATTTTTGAGAGGCGTATTATTGAGACGATCTCAGTTATATGTTTTTAAGAAAGGGGTATACAGTTATGTTCATAATATCAGTTAGAAAATCTTTAACACTTCTAAATGAATTACTACTTAAGGACTAATTACATCTAATTTACTACTTAGGGAGATTTAGAGTACGCACACGTATTAAGAGCGATAATCTCTAAACACAGGGTTACGTGAAAGCACAGCTTCTTAAAAAAATTAAATTTAATAAAACTGAATTACTATAAAGGGCTTAACAGAAAACTAATATATACATCACAACAATATTTTAAACAACTAATACACTGAGATCTATTCTGTCCAAAACCAAACCTAACAGCACACAAGAGAAATTAATGAACTGCATCTATAAAATCTGTGAATGAAACAATTTCTATGTGGGAGAAACAGCAAGACCATTAAATGTCAGGATAAACGAGCATGGAACATACATTAAAACATAGACTTCAACAAATCACAGAAATGCAAACAAGTTTGGAAAATGAAAATGGAGTAAAATGGAAAGATGCATCAATAGTCATGGAAGAAACACACATGAAAGAAAACAAGAAAACTTAAAGACACAGTTCTCATCTTAATGAAGAAACATATGTAGTAAACTCATCAGCAGCATGTAGTTAGCTCTGATTGCCAATACTAAAAAAAGTCCTCATAACGTTAGCGAATTAATAGAAAATCAGACACACATCACTTACTCATGGGTACAAACATCACCCTTAGAATTATCAACTAAAAGCGTGGCTATATACAGACAAGATCCAGGCCAAGTAAGTCAAATGTCAATTTGGAAAGCAATAACCGCCAAACAACTTGGCTATAATAATAGTTCACTATTTTAAAAACCATTTCCGGAGTGGAAATCGAAACGTCAATAAATAATTATAAAATGAAATTTTCATTACAAACAATTGTGACTTAATCCCATATAAACACAATATTTAATAGTACCAAATTACAGTACCTCGCCAAATTATTAGGTCCAGCAAGGAAAAATTTACTGTATGAAGTTATTTCTCTCATGATTATGAATATATTTGAAAAAAAATTACTGTTTTGTTCTTTTTTTGTGAATATTAACTCTTAGTTAATTAAGATGTACTAAAAAAGTTAACAAAAAACTTTTATTTATTAAAAGAGTATAATTTTTACAAAGTAAGGATAAATTTAATATTTTGTATGTCCGCCTTTGGCTGCTAAAAGAGCTTGATAGTTTCCTGGAGGTGAAGATTATGATTCCACTCACAGATGAGCTTTTCAAGTAACTCCCTTTTATTAGTAATGTTTTTTTTTTCGCAATCTCCCTTTTCAGTAGTTCCCATCCATTCTCAATAGCGTTCATATCAGGCGAGTTGCCTGGCCAATCAAGAACTTTAATTTTTGCTTTAAATAAGTTGAAATACTCTTAGCCTTGTGGCAAGGAGCACCATCGTACATAAATATGGGTTCCTCTTCTCCAGGAAAGGTACTTCCCGTTACTGGTCTTGTCTCATCGTGTTTTCCACCACGTAGAGACACACTGATCGTGAGTGACGGTGGGTGTTCGATGGTGGACACAATGCAGTCGGGCTTGTATTTCTCGTTGAAATCTCCCCGAACAAACTTCGTTTTTTCTGTCAAAACTTAAAAAACGGATTCGTCTTAGAAGCAGACCTAATATCAACAAAATTTTTAGAAATGCTCATGTTTTTTTAGTTTTTAATATTGATATTCAAGCAAAACAACATAAATGTATATTTTTCCTGTTTCCAACTGTCCAGTTTTTGTATTTTTGTGCCCATTCTAAACGTTTCTTTATCGTAGCCGGAGTAATCCTTGGCTTTAGAGCTGGACTCCTAGCTTGCAGTTTTGCAGTTTGTTTTCAACAAGTCTCCGACGAACCGTTCTTTCTGAAACACAAATTCCTTCATCTCTTATCTCCTGGGTAAGCATTCGCAGTGTTGGCAAATATATCTTATTTTGCGATCAGTCCTAGGAGTAGTCACACGATGTCTTCCACTGTGACCATTACGCTTGGGATCCAACCTGCGACTCCAGACGCAATTTTATGTTTTATATTCCTTACAGAACTGCTTGACACTCCTACCATTGTTGCTATTTCATTTTAAGACATTTGTCCATCTTTTACGAGTCCAAATACCTGGCCTACTTGTTTTGGTGACAGATAAGCGTTTTCCGCCATCTAAAAATGTATAATACCCTTAAGTATACCAATAACTTCACTGCATATGTTTATAATCTAAAAAATAATATAAATAAGGATAAATCACTCACCTCTGCAATAAAATTTCAGGTCAAAACCGTTTAGAATTCAAATGTTCCCATACAGTATTTGAGGTTATAAAATTCACACTAGTTGACAGGACGCAATGTTGTCTAGAAATGGCGGAGGGGCGGTGTTGCCAACGTTTAAATAGTACAGTAATATCACCACCCTATATTAAATGTTGTTATGTGAAAAAATAATAACATTTCTGGTGATAAAATTTATTAATTTTGAAAAATGCAAATTTTTAATGCTTGGCCTAATAATTTGGCCATGTACTGTATTTATATATAATATGTTTTCTGGGTGTTTAATTAGTATGCGAGGTACATTGCAATGGGCTCACTCTTTGGAAGACTTTGTACTACTTAAAATTATTATGTATATTGATGCTGAAATCAAGTTTGCATCGCCATGAATTCGAACCAATTACCACCTTGATAGAATTCATGAAAATATTATTGTAAACAAGGGCTCCCAGATGAGGCGAACGTTGTATGTTGGTTTTGTTTGACATAAGCGGGTGGCTTATTCGAACATTTAATTCTTTGATGATTGATAATATATTTTTCGGGCTTATTCTTTTCTTATTAGAATATTTCTTATAATAAGAAGGAATATTCTCTTTTCTCCAACAATACAGCTAAGCATAATTTAAAATAAATATGATTTTCAAGAAATTAGGAAACTAAAATTAAATTATATCTTACTTTTATGAAAACGTGTATTTTTATGTTTCTTTATTAAAAATTAAAAAAATTAAAGTATTAAAAAAATTTTAAATTACACAAATTGCTTATGAAACATTTTGGATACTTTACAGGATACATTTTTATGGGCAGATGAGATCGATTTACGTCAAAAATGAAACACTGGTAATGGAAACTGCTGGTGGAGATTTTTGTGAAGATCTAAAAACCGACTTTAAAAGTACAATATTTTTTGAATGCGACAAAGAAGTAGAAGAAGTAAGTGATATTTACATTATTTTGCAATAAACTTAAATAGCTGACTATATATATATATATATATATATATATATATATATATATATATTATATATATATATATATATATATATATATTAAATTATTAAATCGTAGTAATTGTTTAACTGCTATCGTTTTATTTTTTGATAGTTTTTAATAGACAGATAATAGGTCAAGTACATAAAGAAAAATAATACCGGTAAAAATGGTCCAAATTGTTGTCCAAAAACAGGTTAATTTTTACTATTTTATATATATAATTTTAATATACAGTTAATAAATAAGCAAAAGTTAGTAATGTAATATATTTGGAATCGGATTTTGATAACCTTTCAAATGAAGTATAACATTACTCCCTTTATCATTTAAAGAAAATTGAGGGTATAGCTGTCACCTGATGGGGGTTCATCAAATTAATGAAACTTTTATACCGTTAGATATTATTATTACAAGTTTAAACTACTCCGTCCGATTTTGATTTATCTTTAAAATAAACGAGTTCTTCACAGAGGGGGGCAAGACTTAAAGGGGAGCCACAATTAAATTACGTTTATTGACGTTTCAATTTCCACTTCAGAAATCGTTCTCAAAATACAAACATTAGTTTTAATGTATAATATATATATATTATATATATATATTATATATATATATATATATATATATATATATTATATATATATATATATATATATATATATATATATATATATATATACAACACAACACAGTTTAGTAGGGCTGCAATCAGAAGTTTGGCCGGGATGTTAAAGAAACGCTCTTTTGACTTTTGGTCTAGCTTTCGGAATTGTTTTGTTCTTTTTTCAAGACACTGTAATAAGAAGAAGGTGTTATTGACGTAGATAAACTGAGCAACATTTATTGTTATTCACCGGAAAAATATCAAAAATAAAATAAACATTTACCTCTACATATACACGTCATAATACACCTGTGTGCATTACATGTTGCATACCATTAAGACAGGTTTAATATATCACATCCATTAACACAACTTTAAGAACACCTAATTACATTTTAATAGTACTGTTTTTTCTTTCTGTTCTCTATGTATCACAGTTAAAACACACCATTAAAAGATGTCATAGACTAAGTTTTACTATCCATACTCAAAGGTTTAAAAATATTAGAATGTTATATTTATATATATTTATATTTTATATGTGTGTTATTAATGTTAAGGGTCAAAGCTTTTTATATAATCTCGATGACTAGTAAGTTGCACTGACGAATTATGATTTTTTGTAAATGTTTACACATTTTTCTTATTACAGTAGTGTCTTGAGAAAGGAATAAAACAATTCCGAAAGCTAGACCAAAAGTCAAAAGAGTGTTTCTTTACTGTGTTGTTTGTTTATATCGACAGTCACTAATATCCAGTATATATATATATATATATATATATATATATATATATATATATATATATATATATATATATTATTTTTTTGGTTTTAGAGTGAAATTAGACTTAGATCCAAAACAAACTGTAGTTTGGAGTTTATATGGAAAAGTAAATATGCATGTCCCAATTCTACGTACAGTTGTACGTTTAAAGATCCAATTAATTCAGGTTTCATGTAAGTATTGCATAATTTGGCACTATAATAATATATAAGATTACCAAATGTAACTTTTATTCATATTAAAATTAATACACTGGATGCCACATTGAAAACGAATCATATTTTTTTAAAGGACACAATTTTTGTAAAGAAAATACAGACTTATCAATTTTTATTCCACGGAGGACTTCTTCTATACTATCACCAATAAAAATAAATGATGAGAGTATGAATTGGAACACTATAACTGAAAGGGTAATTTTAAAGAAATTCAGCTGTTTGACTGTTTAATATGTAACTATTTATTTTGGTGCCAACTTGCGATGAGAAAAACTACTGTTCCAAATGATGATCTGAAAGCTAATTTCAACAATTTAGTCATAATTTACAATGAATCAAAAATTAAAAAAAAACGAACAATGTATGACCTTAAAAATTTAACAACCTTGTATGTACATTAAGTTGTAAATTCCAAGCGTTATCTTGGATGAGCTGCGTCCAGTAAAGGGTCTGTAACATGTACATAAGATGATAAATTTTCTCGTACGGTATCAGGTGAAACTATAGTATTATGAACATCTACCAGTCTCCTAGTCAACAACAGCTTGAGCTACTTGATCTAGCCTCACTGTAAGTTATTATTTGTTATTAAAAACACATATATAAAAAGCATTTTGTGAAATTCGTTAAAGTGCAGATACTTAGATGGGGTGGACACATTGCTAGGATGTCACGAATACACGAAGAGATTAACATTTTCAAACATTTTCAAAACCAGAGGGCACAAGAAGCAGAGGACGACCACAAATGAGATGGATTGATGATGCGGAAGAAGACGTACAGATTCTAAGGGTTAGAAGATGGAGGGAAGTTGCCAGGAATCGACAGGAGTGGCGACTTCTTTGTGAGCTGGCCAAGATCCACAACGGATTGTCGAGCCACTTATAATGATGATGATGACCTATAAAAAGCAGCCAACAATTCACCAAAAATAATACAATAAATTGAACAAGAAGTATTTTATAAGTAAATATTCGATTTATTCACAGTACCTTAAAAAATGCTTTCTTTTCAGAAACAAAAAATGACAAAAAAAAACAAATGGATAAAGGTAAATTATATATAATGTTTTGATAAATATATTTATTTATTATACAGGCCAAAACTAAAAGGAGAAGCCTTTGGAATTTCACGTGTCGGATAACATTCGATAATAAGTAATACATTGACGTAACTCTTCTAAATAACGTAATTGAAGAATATGTATTTTACTTTTTAAATATTTTTCTTCTTCCTCTTCTTCTGCTTGTTCATTGGCGGATTAATACCTCTATGGAAGGTTGCCACTCCATCATTTGCGCGGTCGTCCGATACTTTCTCTGTTGATTGGTGACTTATCTCTTGCTATTTTGACGCTCTTCCTTTCTCCGTTCGGCTCGTGGAGATAAGAATACGTCCGCGGCCAGAAGACCCTGCCTGTCGTAAGAGGCGACTAATGGGTGGGCAACGAGAGGTGGGGAGTTGTCGTTTGAGGTGTCGGGTTTGTAGAAACGCACTCGAGATGCATAGCCATCTCGGTCACCGGTCTACATTCCTAGTATCCGAGAGCATCTCGTGGGACCACTCTACTCTCATTTCCACAAGAGCCAGGTGAGGTTGAACGAGCTGGGACCGTAAATACCTCCCACTGCCTTACACCACCGTGGGTGGTGTGGTGACCCGGCACGTACCCACCTGGAACGAGTGGTAGAGGAGCGATTCCTTGGCGGTGACCTGTCTACGTGCGAGGCGGAATTCCTCCGCCAGCGTCGCCTTTCCGCCCGGGCGGGGGGGGGGGGAGCTCCGGACGGCTGACGTACTACCAGCAACACAGGTACTACGGGCAAGGTGGAGCCCCACGATGTTTCGGCATCGTGCCACCTTAGGTGTCGGACTCGTAGGGGCAGGGATTACGCTTACGGTCATATGCCGAAAGGCCCGGAAGACCAGGGTCCAGCCAATTTTAATTGGAGCGAACACGAATCAGTCAATGCTATTTTGGCGACAAGGGTCCTCTCCATTCTGCTTATGTGGTTATTCCATCCTTTTTTTCTATTTTGTGTCCATTTACTTTTTTTCGTATACACTGTACGTTACATTTTCTTCTAATGTCTTCACTTTCTTTCGATCTCTCAGCGTATATCCTGTAATTCTTCTGAGTACTCTCATCTCTGCCGTTTCCAGTAGCCTTTGCGTTGTGGCTGAGTCGGGTCTTGTTTCTGAGGCATATGTCATTTTAATTCTTACACTGGCTTTCTTGACTTCATCTTAGTGTTAATGTGCCTATTTCGCCATATAGTGTTATTAAGGCATCCTGTCAGTCTATTTGCTTTTTGTACTTGATCTCTCACTTCTTTGTCTAGGTCTCCATAGCTGGACAGTGTAATTTCCAGGTATTTTATTTCCATTACTTGTTCAATACTGATGCCATCAATTTCTATTTTACATCTGGTTGGTTTTTTGCTAACTACTATTGTTTTAATATTGTTCTGAAGCTATTTTCTTGTGGCATTGTAAATTAATTACTATTAAACTGGGAATAAGCCACAATTAAAGATAAAAATACGTTTATTGACGTTTCAATTTCCACTTCGGAAATCGTTCTCAAAATACTATTGTTTTAGTTTTCTGAGATGAGATTGTCATATTTATTTTGCTCTTATGTTAAATCTGTGGACCAGTCTTTGTAGACCATCTTCATATTGGGCTATCAATATTGCGTCGTCTGCTTAATAGAGTAATTTTATTTCTTTGTATCCCATTCTGTACCTACTTCCTTTGTTGACTGATGATTTTATCCATGATCAAATTGAAGAGCATGTGGCTCAATGAATCTCATTGTCTTATTCCGCTGCCTATTTCTATAGGTTCTGTAAGTTGACCATCTATTCTGACTTGCATTTTTTTTTTGTTTTGGTAGCATGTTTTCGATAGTTTTTATAATACATGATAGCTCGAAATAAACAGTACTGAAACTGAAACATAGGTGTCCCTGAGTGGGCGCTAGTATAGATCTGTCAAGTAATCCTTAAACAATTAATTAGTAAGGCCTGTTTCATTATGGTAGAACATTATTCTCACTCAAACGCAGTGTGTAAGTGCAAATCTGCGATACGTGTGTAATCAATTCATACAACGTATTATTGAAAAGTTCAGAAATACGGATAATGTATTGTGCGAACGAAGAGAAAACTCGGGGCGTCCCATAATAGTTAACAACAATAACCATGAATGTGTTTTTGAGCGAATCTTGGAAAATCAGAAATCCAGACAGACAATGACAGCGTTGCATCTTGGCTTAAAAAGAACTTCATTGTAAAGAATCCTGAAAGAGCTGGGTGCATTTTAGTATGTGATCATGTACGTCAACAATTACATCCTCGAGATTATCGCATTAGAGTGAAATATTGCGCCAGAATTCTTGCGTTACAGTATGAAAATCCTGAATTTTCAAAAAATGTATGGTTTTCAAACGAAGCATATTTTCATTCGTCGGGCCATATAAATCGTCGCACAAATCGATTTCTAGGCTTTTCCAGACCAGATGAAGTTCAAGAAGTTCCTTTGCATAGTGCAAAAATGGGTGTCTGGTGTGCCGTTTCGGGACACGGAATCATTGTCCCGTACTTTATCGAAGCAAATGGTAGGTAAGTCACACTTAATCAACAGAGGTACATACAAATTTTAACACGCTTCATTCCTGCGTAGTTCATTCCTTACGTCCACGTCAATTCTGTCGTGGACGTAGTTTGGTATTTAGAGACCAATTTTTACAACAGGACGGGGCAACTTGTCATACTGCTGTAGCAATTCGCCAATTTCTTCAGGGACATTTTTCAAGCAGATTCATTTCACAATTTGCTGACTTCCCTTATCCTTCACATTCTCCAGACCTTACATCACCAGGCGCAAACATTTGGAGCAAGACTAAAACTGCCGTTTTAAATGGGTACCACAAACCATCTGTAAATTAAAGGATGCCGTTATAGCGTTATTCGCGGACCTGAGACAACCCTTATTCTATAACATGACGAGAAACCCGAAACATTGGTATGCAGTCTGTTTTGAACGAGGAGTAGCATATTTAAAACATGTAATAAAGTGTCAATAATAACAGAATATGTAATAAAGTGTCAATTCCTAAAACAATAAAATAATTAAGTTCAGTACTGTTTATTTTGGGCTATACTGTATTTAGGGGAACCCTAATAAAGAGGATGAATCATGGGAGTTGGGGGGAGGGAGCGTTCGACTAATCATTTTCTTCCAATCTAATGAGTAGACAATATTTTTAATCATCTGTCAATGTTTAATCATCTGGGGCTTCGAGTAATTCCAAAATACATGTCCCTAATCAAATTACTAGCTAAAAAAATGAACCAACAACACAATTCTCAAATATTTCAGCACAAACATTTAACTGTTCTGGTGTTAATATTTGTTATTGTATGTACTTGATGGAATACTCTTCTTTTATCAAAAATTATGACTATCGATAGTTCCATAAAAAGAAAAATGTTTCATTAATAGACAAAAGGGGATACAGGTCATCTTAGAAGGATGATAAAAGATAATATTCCAACATGAGAGGTAACGTTAGCGACAAATATTCAATATGACTAAATAAAAGAGGTTTAAGCAGAAGAAAAAATATCAAAAGAAAATGCTGCAATATGCTGCCGAGGTGGCGCTAGCTGGGACGGTGAGCCAGTCAGATAATTTAACACGTTCCCTGCTATGTTGGTCCGATGGGACCACCGCTGATGTTGCTTCAATAGGTCACGTTGGTCCAATGAGACCAACGCAAGTTTTGCATTAATAGTCCATGTTGGCCCTATGGAACCAACATTTATTCCGATATGTACTGAGCCGTTGGTATTTATTTAGTATTAAATACCCATGGGAATGGACCAACGAGGCCTACAAGCTATGTGCTGTATACAGAATTTGTGCGATTTATGGAATATGACAAATATGGTCCCATATAAGCCAAAAACGTTATTTACAACTTTGGGATAATATTTATTGATACAAACATGTTTTTCAACAACAGAAAAATCAAATAATGTAAAACAACAAAAAAAAAATTATTTAAGGTATATGTAATTCATTAAAACAACCTATACACAGAAAAGGTTCCTTGTCACAGCTTTTGCAAAAGGTTTTGCAAAAGCACCTTTATAGTTTTGTTCATAGCATACTGACGGCCGTGTTGCTCACTATTTCTTGTGTAGGGGTTCTTGCAAATCTTTCTTCGTTGATGTTTACTTCCGTCTGCCTTCTGTTCAAGCTGATGGTGATTATTTGACACTCTTCGTGGTGGTTTCATTATAAGTAACTAGATGTTTCTCTATTTGTTTTTTAAAATCTGTCACCGACATGTTGTTGTTTGTTACAAGCTTATGTATTAAAAAAGAATTTATAACTGATGTAGTTAATAATTCAAACCGCACTTTTTTAAACCATTTTACGCTTTTCCTAAAGGGGTTGGAATACGCTCCCATTTGGTCAGATAAGTCTACTGTCGCTTTGCCTTTATTGTAATCTATTACCACCTTGGGTTTCATGTTAGGTTTGTTGATTACAAGATACTTCGACCGTTTCATTGCCGTGTCTAGTAGAAAGCGTCTAAATATTTCTTTTGTCTTTCCAGTTCGTAATGGTCACTCCATCATTATTTTTCAAAGAAGCAATCTGCCCTTTATTTGATTTTGCAGCTACTACTTCTTATGGTAAATATTTTCGATTTTTTGAACAGTTCCTATCAGGTATGTATCGACGGAAATTTTTTTTTACTAGCGGTAAACTTGTATACCGATTGTCGGTTATCAGCGTTTTTCCTTGATGTACTGAATCCTTCATAAGATACAATATAATGCTTTCTGGAGTGACGTTAGAACTATTTTTTCCCTGCTTATACTTTGAAATTGTACATATATCCAGATCCAGAACATACTTTAAAAATGTTTACACCATATTTGTGTCTTTTTGACTTAATGTACTCTTTTAAACCCCAAGCGTCCCCTAAAGGGTAATATGGTTTCATCGATGTAGACATATTCTTCCGGCACGTATAAAGACTTAGAATTTGCAGTCAGAATGTCGACAAGTGGCTTTAACTTATACAGTTTATCACTTGTATCTGCCAATAAATTATCATTAAAGTGAAACATCCTTAACAGCATCTCGAATCGATTTCTAGACATTACATTCTTTGCAAAATTATTATGTAACAGGTTATTATTACTCCAATAGTCTGCGATTTTCGGCATTTTCACTAAAGCCATCCAGGCAATCAGTCCTAAAAAATTTCTAATTTCAATATTTGTCGTGGGAATCCAGTCATGTAAGTTGAGCAGTTGCATGTATATTTGTTTGGTTATAAATCAGGCTAATTACTCTGTCATTGATCACAGCATCAAAAAAGTCTCCAGGCGTACCATTTGCCAATATTGCAGCTACTTCCATCATTTATTCGTGACGGAATAGAAAAAGGTGCTATTAACTTATTATTACCTACTACTGAACCCCAATTTGGTTCTATATTCGGTACTGGATCTTCACTACGTTGTGGATCTAAGTTCGGTTCTGGATCGAGTATTGAATTTAAGTTTGGCTCTGAAACGATAGTACCTTGAAGATTACTATTAGGTTGTTCTGGATCATGCATTGAATTCAAGTTCGGTCCTGAATTGATATTATCGTGAACATGACGAGTAGGTTGTCAATCTAATTTTATTTTTTTTTTCTCTGTAAAAACTTTCGTACATTTTTCACCGTTTCTTCTGAATCTGACGAATCTGATTCTTCTTCTGAACTACACAGGTACTCACTATCAGAAGCTTCAAATGATTCATCATCGTCATCGAAAAGTTCTCCAAAATTTATTGCAATGTTTTGCAATTCACGCTCTGTCAGAGGTTTAGAACGTTGAAACATCTAAAATTACACAATATGTTGTAAAAATATTGTATTTTAAACATTATTTAATACTTACAGCAATTTATTCTTTCAATTTATTGAAATGAAAAACAACAATAACAATACACAATGCGCATTCGTTTATTTATGTTAGGTTTATTTATATTAGTACGGTTCACTGGGCTGCGCTGTCCCGATGGGACCAACACATTTGTTATATGGTGGCTCAGCGGTGGCGGCAGCGAACGTGTTAAATTGTCACAGTCCTGTAGTTACCAATTTCTTACGTAGACATATTTTATAACCTATGGACAAATATTTATTATAGTTACACTGATTAATTAAACCGTTCTAATTGGGTTACTATAATAATTTTACTTATAATAGTTTACATACGTATAAAAATATGTTTCCTTATTTTTAGCTATGACTTCACAAAAACGGAAAAAAGTTCTTTAACTGTTAATGTAGCCGGTACAACTTATTTATTTGATATTTGTGGTGACAATAAATCTTGTAAGGAAAATAGTGAGTATAACTTTTATGATATATTAGCTTTAAAACCAACACGCTACAATTTGAATTTAAACAGATTGACAAGTTTATACCTGTAAAATGAGAATCCGTCAGGCTTAAGGCAATACGTTATATTTAATAGCCTCTTGACGAATGAGAGGGCGAATATCAAAAGCTTTTGTTGACAGTTGGGAATTTGCTGAACGAATGTACCTACTTTAATTTCCTTTTTTTTTTAGGTTGCATATATGTTCCAGTAAAAAAGTCATTAGTGACATATCAAAACAAGACGCATCTAGAATTTCTACTTAACCAACCGTGTGCTCCTGTTAATGGGTTTAACAGAACGCTTTTCGAGTTAGAATGCGATAACATACAGAATAATGATCATTTCAGCGTAAAGAAAATAGCAGCTTGCACTTTAATTGTTTCACTTAAGACAAACCGAGCATGTAATAGTCAGGTAAGAATCTGAAATGAAGACTAAAAGTAAATTTATTTGTATTTGACCTCAACAGATATTGTTTCTTATAGTCCGTAGACCATTAATCTGAGGAGCCGAAGAACTAACAGACATAATGTCAGTAATGCCTGTAATGTTCATAATATTAACACATCTTTTTAATATTGTTCTGAAGCTATTTTCTTGTGGTGTTTTAAAGTAATTACTATTTTAATGGGAATTAATGTTTATTATTAATTTAGATTATTAATGTTTGTATTTTGACAACGATTACCGAAGTGGAGATTCAAACGTCAATAAACTTATTTTAACCTTCAATTGTGGTTTATTCCCATCAACATAGTAATTACATCAACACAGCTATATTTTATTTTCGAAAAATTTATAGATTTATAACAAGATCTAAAACTTTGCAGTGTACGACTGAAAAAATGCCACCATTTTGTCCGCCCAGCATACAATTATACTTTTACGTTTTTTTTAGTCATTCCAGAGAAAATTTGACTTCTTCTTCGTATGTTAGACGCCAAGGCCTGTTGTTTCCGGTCTGATTTAGCAGTATTTGCTATGTTGGCCGCCAACTATCTCTCCATCTTTTAGGAAGTCTATCTTGTGTTCTTTTATCTTTTGGTTTCCCATATGATATCATGTACTTTACATGTCTCTGATTTGTGTAAAGGGATTCTGTCTCTTAAAGTTTTGTCCCTAAATGTTTTCATCTCTGTTGTTCTTCAGATTTTCTTTGTAATTGTTGTTTTTGCTCTTGTTTCTATAGCATATGGTAATATCGGTCGTACACAAGTCTTATATATGCGTATGTTTCCTTCTATCCTCATATTCTTATTTCTCAATATCACGTCTCGTAGGCATCCTGACACGTACGCTGGTTTATTAGCTTGTATGCGGGTTCCTTCGAAAATGTTTCCATAATACGATATTTGCGTTTGAAGACAGTTGAATTTCGATATTGGTTCTATGATTTTTTTGTTTATTACGATTTTGCATCTCACTGGCGCCCTAGCAATAACGAGGGACTTGTTTTTAGTGCTGATATTTTCAGGTTATATCAGGTTATTTCAGGCTGCTATAGCTTTCAAAGCTTGGACCATTAGTTGTAAGTCATCTTCATTATTTGATATTATTACTGTATCATCTACGTAGCATAGAACCTTTATTGCTCTGTTCCCCATTTTGTACCTGTTTCTGGCTTTTTTATTTCTATTAGTTTGTCCATTATTAAGTTAAACAATAACGGGTTCAAGCTATCACCCTGTCTTATACATGATTGAATGTTGACTTCCTGCGTTAGTTCGGTTCCTATTTTTGTTGTTGTTTTGTGATCAGAGTAAATATCCTTTATCTGTGTGATAGTGGCTGTTATAGTTTCTGTGTGTAAAAGTTCAATCATCTCTTGTAGACTAATACAATCGAAGGCTTTAGTTCTATTTCTTCTTCCTTATTGTATGTAGGCTTTAAAGCATTTTTCTTCAATATTAGCCTCCTAAATTGTTTAAATTGTCGCACCATCCATATTGCACCATATTTGTCACCCAACCATATTGCATACTCTTCCTTATGTTTTCGCTTCTCTCCCTATCTAACAGTTTTTTCCCTGATATTCATCGAAGTATTTTTATCTCTGTTGTTTCTAGTAGTCGTTTCGTTTTAGATGTGTCGGGAGTTGTCTCCGCCGTGTATGTGAATATAGTTCTGATTGCTGATTTATAGATTCTTGTTTTTGTGTCTTGTCTTAGGTGTTTGTTTTCCAGATTGTAGCATTAAGAGATCATGCCGTTTTACTTGATTCAACATCTCCACAGTTAGTTATGTTTGTTCCCAGATATCTAAAACTTGCTTCCTGCTTTATTATTTTCCCATCAATTTCGATTTTACATCGTAGTGGGTATTTAGATGTGGTCATACATCTAGTTTTTTTCTGCTGATATTATCCTATTGTATTTCTTGGCTGTTGTATTGAAAATGTGTGTTAATCTTTGGAGCTCGTCTTCTGTCTCTGCGATTAATGCGGCGTTGTCTGCATAACATAATATTTGGATTTCTTTGTTCCCCTTTCTGTACTACTTTCCTTCTTTCCTTTACGGACTACTAGTATTATTTCGTCCATTATTATATTAAAGAGAAGTGGGCTTAACGAGTCACCTTGTCTGACTCCGCTTTGTACTGGTCTGCACTGTGTTAGTTTTCCATTTATCTTTGCCTGTATTCGATTATGGAAGTATATGTTTTCGATGGTTTGTATAATATTGATTGGTATGTTTCTTTTATACAGTAGGTGTAAGGCGTCTTCGACTTGGATGCGTTCGAAAGCCTTTGTCAGATCTATAAAACATAGATATGCTAGTTTATCTATAAAACATAGATAGTTTAGACCAACTAGCATAGATATGCTAGTTGGTCTATTCTGTGATTTGTCTTAGTACAAATACGGCCTCCACGCAGGATCTTCCGGATCTGAATCCTTGTTGTTCATCTGATAAGGTTGTTAGTTTATTAATTTTGTTGGTTAAGACTTTTGTGGTAAGCTTAAGTGCGGTCTTCAGTAGAATTATACGTCTATAATTGTTGGGGTCCTCTTCATCTCCTTTTTTGAACATTGGTATCATTATGCTGTTTCTCCATGCGTCTGGTCTCTTGCAGTGCAATATTAGTTTTTGTATAAGTTTTATCATCTCTAGGATTATATTTTCTCCTTAGAATCTCGCTGTTTACTCCGTCCTACTGACTTTCTATTTTTGAGTGAATTTATGGCTTCCTGAAAACTGATTTCTATTTCGTGTCTTAATTCAGGTACGTTATTATGTTTTTCTACTCTCTTACTAGTAAATTGTATATTACCTACTATTTGGATGCTAAGTAAATGCATCATAACAGATACTGACACGTAATGACTAGCACGTAATAAAAAAAATTACGCTTCAGTTCTATAAAAATGTGTAATATCACATACGCCTTGTAAGTCAGTTGGTCGAGTTACCATGGAAACGAATTAACAGGCGTTGTTTTGACAGGTTAAAAATTATTAATCTGTCAGTGTAAATATAGTGGTAATTTAATTTTTATTTTTATAAACAAAAATAATGGTAGAAAAAGTATAGTACACAACTTGAGTTGTAAGCTTATTACATGCTTGTAAAATTACTGCGCTCGCCGCTACGCGGCTCGCGCGCAACTTTTTTACTCGCATGTAATAAGCTTCTTACAACTCTCGTTATGTAATATACTATTATACGTTATTAATAGATTTTGAACGCAAAAAACATCTCATATCGCTGCTTTTTGCTACATATTTGCAGATGCATTTGATAGACTTCAATTAATTGCACAATTCCACGTTGAATGAGCCTTAAATGATTTGGACAGAAGTGATGAATACAGAACGATCCAGGTGTTGCTGAGCACAAAGTCTTTTTATTTCACTTTCGTTGTGATAGCTCTACCTTTGCCATCCAGTGATCGACGGCGATCCAATCGATATCCTGCCTTAGCCTACCTGTTTTATGAAATATATCCCTGCCGTCTGTCATTTCTTTGTATTTATTATAGAGTTCAAAGTTATAGTAAGAGCCCATAGTATATACCAGAATGTTGTGTAAGAGCCTTCAACATATACTCTTCTTACAACTTGAACCAAATATTCTTCTAAATAATTATTATCTTCTTCTTTTTTGAGTACCGTGCCCAAATAAGGCGTGGGTAGCTTCCGTGACTATTTGCCGATGTTTTTCTCTATCTTGCGTGACAACATCATGTAACAATTCATCTGCTGATAAGCCAGTCCACTGATCAAGGTTTCGGAGCCATGAACATTTCTTCCTTCCAATCCTTCTTATAAATAATGATAAATTAGACTGTTTAATATAAATTATTATATTTAACAGTTTATTCATGAAAGTCTAAATAGTTTATTTATATTATAATAAAATAATCAAATTGTTATATTTAACAGTTGCGCCACGTCTAGGTAGGTGGGTTGTTTAGTTAATTATTTTAACATGTTATTTCATATTTTAGAATCACGTAGTTCCTGTTGAATCTGTTGAACATGACACTGGATCCCAAGAGAAGCATGAATCTGTTGAACATGACACTAGAACCCAAGAGAAGCATGATAAGATAATCCCTATTGAACAAATTCCTGATGAACTGGACAAATATGACACAGTTGAAGAATCTTCTAATCCAGTAATTCAGTATACTAAGCATTGTACAATAACAAATCCGTATACTGATTATACTTTCAACATAAGTAGACTTAATCTAAACGTAAGTTTATTAAACTTGATAAAATTAAATCATATTAAAAAAATAAGTCATAACTTATATTCACCGTATAATTAATTAAAATTTATAATCAGGATCATAACTGCTGGCGGAGCAATTATCCGTTACAGGGTGATCGTAACAATGTTACCTGTAAATTAGTATTTACTTTCTTTCCGCGTCTGGATCACTTCTTCATATCTTATACTGCCAATGTTTCGCCGCTTAAATGGCTCTGTCATTGGCTACCATTAAGTCAAAGTAAGTCATCCTTTATTCAAATCCGTACAAACCAATAGATGCTAGGGTTTTGCACTTCGTTTCGGTCACATTTATCCTCTTCTGTAAAACCCCAATCTTTTTAAGATTGACTTATATCGGTTCTGAATCGGAATGAGCCCTGCTACTCATTCAAATTCTATGAGACATTAATCTTGATGCGTGCCTTTGATGACCCAACATCGAATGACATGGGTCACTATCTTGTTTCTTTTTTTATTTTAAATAACACAAATTACTACATTTCTTATTTGAAAGGAACATTTCCTATTATAGGGAATATCCTGTAACCTGGAGTAAGTTTTAAACACCCAGATATTGTTTGAACAGTCTCATTTATAGGGTGATTAACGTAATGAGTGTGAACAGAACAACCCAAAACGGAGCTGAATACGCTGCTGCAGAAAAACACAAATCCAGGCCTGATGTTCGTAACACACTTAGCTGAAATTTCCAACTTTTCCAGTTTACTTATGAGTTATTTCCAGAGTCAAAGCTAATAGGTTTAGTACACTTGGTTGAGCTCCCAATTTTTTTCTGGTTAGAAATACAAGTATGGAAAAAATATCTGACTATAGGGCATTAAGACAATGGAATGAACTGAAAAAAATATATAGAGATTGTATGTCTTAATGTATTGATATTGTATATCCGATAGAATAACATGTCTGCGATAGACCCGTTAGCACTATGGGCAGTCTTGTCTGTACATTGTGGCCGAAAGAAAGTTTATTTTTGGATGGTCTGGGGAAATATTCCAAAGATGTGATTACAAGATTTAAAAGCAGGTTCATATCTTAGATTAAAGCAACAGTTTCTTTAATCTCAATTTTCAATTTATCCTAAAAAACTAACAATTTTATAATTTTAATTAAATTTTTAAAAAGTCTACCATGTTCAGTCAAGCAGTAGCCCAATCTATTGTATAATTGCCCTCGGCTGTTTAACAACATTTCGGGTGTTATGCTTTAATGAAAGGCCTGAATGATTTTTTAACGTAATTAGTCTAAATTTCTAAATTTTTTGCTTCACATACCCCCCTACGAAAAAATCCAAAGGTACAAGATCACGAGAGCGAGGGGGCTTTTTATGGTACCTTTTGTACTAATAACATTATTTGGAAATGCAATGCTGCATTTGCCATCTTGCTGCAACCAAATTTCATCCATATTAATAGGTAATGCTCGAACTGCCGGAATTATGTGATTTCTCAGGAGATCCGGTATATATATATCTAGAAGGTTGTTGAACTCCTAAGTGGAGCATAGAGCTTCAGTGAAAACGCGCCATCTGGTTCTATTTTGCGCTAATGCCTTCACCTCATTCCAAGACTTTCCTTGGCCTCATATCTCGTCCATGATAGATCTTCTCCAAGTTTGTACAGGGCGACCTCTTTTTCTTTTCCCTTGGGGATTCCACTTTAGGGCAGTCTTTGCGATACTGGAACTATTTTTTCGGAGTGTGTGACCGATCCAACCCCACTTTCTGGACTTAATTTTATTTTGTACCCTCTTTTGTTCGGTCAGGTGTAGCAGATCTTCGTTTCTGATGGTGTTAGGCCAGAATATACGAACAATTCTTCGTAGATATTTGTTAACAAAGACCTGCAGTTTGTCTGTGGGGGTGTTTGTCACGTTCCAGGTTTCACATCCGTAGAGTAGAACAGACATGATATTTGATCGGAATATTCGGATCTTTGTCCTTGTAGTATACTCGCCAGATCTCCAAACAGGGTTGAGCGTGCTGAAAGCTTGTTGGGCTTTTCGTATCCCCATACGAATATCGTCTGCTGTACCTCCGTTTTCTGTTATGACACTTCCAAGATACGTAAAGTTTTCCACATTTTCAATCTGCATAGCGTGTTGTTCCTTGAATTTATTCTCATTGATTTGGTTTTACTAATATTGATTTTCAAACCTATTTTATTGGCAGTGGAAAGTGTTTCCAATTGGTAAGCCAGATCTTGGAACCTTTGACCTAATAGGCAGATATCGTCCGCGCATTCTAGATCGCTTAGGCGTGTGGTTAACGTCCATTGTATCCCTCTTGTGCCGGAGTCTAGTTTGGAGAGAACATAGTCTATAGCTATGTAAGAAACGGAGAAAGCACGCATCCCTGTCTAACTCCAGTAAGTACGTCGAATTCGTCACTGTTGATCCCATCGTGTCATGCTGCATTTCGCATCAGTATATAGTGACTTTATAATAGAAATTATTTTTTGCGGGTTGTTTCTTAGTTCTAAAATTTTCCATACAACAGCGTGAGACAAGCCATTAAAGGCACGTTCAAAATCAACAAAAACCATGTATAGGGGTCCATTCAACTGATTGTTCCATTATTACCCTCATAGTATTAATGTGGTCTATGCAGGAGGATTCTGGTCTAAAGCCTGCTTGATTAGCTCGAAACTCAACCTTGTTTGTTAATCTTTTCAGTATGATAGTCGTGAAAATTTTATTTATGACAGTAAGCAAGGTTATTCCTCTCCAATTTTTGCACAGTGTGAGGTTGCCTTTTTTTGGAAGCTTGATAATGTTACCTTTTTTCCAGACCGCTGGAATGTGGTTTGTTTCCCACACCTCTCGGATTATGGGGAGCAAAAGTTCAGCAGTTAGATGCGGATCAGCTTTAAGTATTTCAGCAGCAATATTATCGATTCCCGGTGAATTGTTGTTTCTCAGAGATTTGATAGCTGTATTGTGTGATCCGGTATTTACGATGACATAAAGTGCACAAAATGAAAAAAGCGCGAATTACGTTGTCAGCTAAAATACCGGCCCAGACGTTGACTTTTTGAAGGTATTGTGTTTTGTAAGGAACTTCTTTTACAGCTTTATTAATTCCAGGTAATTTCTGTGTCCAGTAAAAATTTGTTCTGGTCGACGCCGGGTCCCGGTAAAATGTACAGGCTGTACCGCCCTCTCGGAGGCTGTCTGCGCTACTTGTACACTGTTTTCTTTCCTGACCCAGTCCTCTTCTGTAATTTCCTATTTCGTTTTTAAAACTTTTGACATAGTAGTTTGGGTTATATGGAGCTACCTTGTAGTATCTTTCTGAATATCCAGCTCATTAGACACAGTTACAATTTGTAATACTTAGATTACCTCAGGTGAACGAGCTAGCATATTTTGTCCCATGTGCTGCTCTCTCCATCAATTTAGTTGGTGCTAAGGCGGCCAGTACTACCATGGAGGGCTCAAATTGTTTTCGGAACTACGAACGGTATGTATTCTTTCTCCGCGCCTTAACTTCAGCCTGGAAAGTTCTTCGAAAATATTCAGGCATTGAAATCTGAAAGCAAGCCAAGATGGTCTGCAACATTATAGGTGTGATGTAAGCTGTATATAAACATTACGGATAGTTATGAACGCTCTAAAGGATCTTAAAAACCATGATCTGTCAACACTTATAAAGTATACCGGGTGGTGAATCGTCAAACGGACCATAGGAAACTCAATGGGAAATTTTAAATTGTTGAATTGCTGCTTCCCTAATTATTTTAGATCAAAAGTCATATAAAACTATTTGTAGAGGACTAAAATCTGAATTAAAAACAAATGTTAAAACCGTTCTACGAATCAAATGTACTTCAAAATTTTGCAAAAATATAATACATTTTTCAGGCCACCCCTAAAAGTTAGGCCACACGTAATGCAAGAATATATATTAGGACGTGTGTGTTTTATCATATTGATGTCAGATATTTGACAATTTGAATTGTCAATTTTTTTATTTTATGATTAAATTATAAACAATGAATTTTACTAAATACTGCTACTAATGAACATTATTAATTTGTGAACAATAAATTATATTGTTTACAAATCGATCAGTATAATGAAATCTACTCAATTGACGAAAAATCGCCTAACGTTGTATTCAGGCAATAGCGCGAACCTTTTCCTGCCACTACCGGATCTTTATTTAACGTAAGATATTCTAATTCACTAAAATTTAATTCCATGTTAAGTTATACAACAATTCAATGAATTCCAATATACTGTTACTGTGATCTTTATTTCTAATAATAATATATGATAATTTCTAAACATAAAACTATAACAAATGTTATAATAAAACATAAATAAAACATTTTTATTATTGCTTTTTCTCCTCAACTGAGTACATTTTTTAATCAGCTTAATCTTTTTTTTAACAATAAATCACAAAATTTTGGCCATTTAAATCATAGATAAATGTAATATAATTGATTTAAATATTGTCAAATATCAGAAACAATAATATGACAAAACGCAACACATAATACACATTTTTTCACAGAAAAATGTATTATATTTTAGCAAAATTTTGGAATACGTTTAAGTCGTAGAATAATTTTAACAGTTGTTTCGATACATATTTGAGTCCTCTACAAATAATTTCCCATGACGTTTGGTGTAAAATAATTAGGGAAGCAGGAATTCAACAATTTAGAATTTCCCATTGAGTTTCCTATGGCCCGTTTGACGATTCACCACCCTGTATATTATCACACAACTATAATCTCCATTTTGATAGAGTTCGAATTCTAAACGTTTGAATATCAATGAGTTTTTACAAAGAACAGACCAGATTTAGCTGCCTGGAAACTATAAGGTCTTTTAACTTTCTTAAAGTATTGCAGAGAGTTCATTCCATCGAAGGTCAAAACCTGGGGGTATCAAGCATGAATGATCTATCATCCGAGTTCTCAGAAAAAGGATAAAGAAAAAAATGCCTGATGAACTACGCAGCGATGAAGCTCTGGCAAATGCTGAAAATGTGTATCGAGTAGCCATTTTATAGGTTATTTACCGGATGATTACGGCACTCAGTGATAGATTTTAGGCTTTGGCAAACATAAATACCCAGTTTGGATTTTTGAATGGAGTTCGAATTCTTCTTCTTCTTCAGATGCAAATCCACTAATGGATGTTAGCGATCACATTTTCCATTAACTATCTATTTCTTGCAATATGTATCAGAGATTGTATGTCGTTAATCCCTGTCCATTGCCTTATGTTTCGGAGCCAGGACATTTTCTTGCGTCCCATTCCTCTCTTGCCTTCAATTTTACCCTCGATTATAAGTTGGAGGAATTGGTATTTTTCATTTCGCATGATGTGACCTAGATACGCCGTTTTCCTTTTCTTGATGGTTTCGAAAAGTTGGCGTTCTTGGTTTATTCTTTTAAGGACATCTATATTTGTGATTTTCGCTGTCCATGGTATTTTTAGGATACGGCGATAAAGCCACATTTCGAAAGCTTCCAATCTGTTTATATCCCTCGTTTTGAGTGTCCAGCCCTCTACGCCATATAGCAGCACTGACCATACGTAGCACTTAGTAAACCTTAGTCTCAGTTGAAGATCGAACTCAGAACAAGTCAGTACCTTCTTGAATTTTACGAAAGCTTGTCGAGCTTGCTCAATGCGACATTTTACTTCCCTGTCCGATGCCCAGTCTTCAAAAAGCCACGATCCCAGGTATTTAAATTTACTCACTCTTTCTAGGGATTTACTATTCAGTGTTATGGTGGAGTTTTCAAATGCATCCAAGTTTCTGGAGATGATCATGAATTTGGTCTTTTTGGTATTAATCTCTAGTCCCATTCGCTCACTGTATTCTCCGATTATAGTGACAAGTTGTTGAAGATCGACTATGTTGTCACAAATTAAGACACCATCATCAGCATATCTTATGTTGTTGATCAATACTCCATTCACCTTGATTCCCATCTCTGCATCCTCCAAAGACTCTTGAAATATGGCTTCTGAATAAATGTTAAATAAAAGAGGGGAAAGCACACATCCCTGTCGAACGCCTCTTCTTATATGTATGGGCTTAGATATAGAATTGTCTATTTTTAGCTGTGCCGTTTGATGCCAGTACAAGTTTTCAGTTCGAGTTCGAATTGGAGAAATGCAAATAAAATATTAACAGATGAAAGCCGAAGAATTGGCAAACATGTACACTGCTAATCTCAACATTTGAGAATTTAAATTTGAAATAGAAAGTTTCAAGCATTACGGTTTATCAGTTGACGAAAATTTAAAGGAAGCCACAAGTTTATTTATAAAAATAATTTAGAGGAAGGCTACCCTAACATTAGTACTGCGCTGAAAATATTCCTCACGCTGCCAGTCACAGTATAATCTGAAGAAAGAAGAACACATAATCATCAAAAACTACATGAGAAGTACACTGAGACAAGGGAGACTCCCTGATCTAAGTATAATATCAATTGAATACAAACCACTATCAACTTCTACGTAATTAAATTTGCAGTTAAGAAGACTCATAGTGGTGGAGGGAGAGGAATCGTTAAAGGGAGCAGCAACTGACAAATCTCCTAGTTCCGGCTCTGTTCATTGTCGACTTATTACGTTTTATCGGTGTCGCAAATAGTACTCTTAGCTGAACATATCTGAATCTTTATAATCTTTATTTAAAAATATTTAAATAACCTTCTTTTTAGGTATCATCCTCGGTGTGTCCTGATAAATCTTTTAATGAAGAGTCTCAGGTAGTAACTTTGATTTACGACACGTCAAATATTTGTTTTAATAAAGGTAAGTCTTATTATTAATGAATGTTTAAAAAATAATTATCACATACTGGTTAAATTTCATAACATTTAACCAGAACATTATCATTATAAAATTCCAATGCCGGACCTGTATATTCGAAAAATGCCGGTTCAGCTTGACGTCACTTGGGTTGCGTTAGCTATGATCCGGATACTCATTTCGGCTTTTGGGTTCGTTAGCTATGACCCGGCAACTCGTTGTCGGCTCTTTGAGCGTGGGCGCACCGGCAGCTGAGAGTAGCATTCCAATCTTAACACTGTACACATCTCCACTCGTAGTATTTTGTTGGTTTTTGTTTTTTATTACGTACGAGTGGAATTAAACGTTCATAAACGGCTAACATGTGGTCGTATATCTTTTAAACATTTTTTCTTATATAACAAGTAATGGTTTCAACGTGTTTTTCATCAATGTTTTGTAAATAGCTGTATAAAGTGCTTCGTAAAAGACTTTTAAGTGCAAAAGTGAGGTTTAAGTGACAAGTTCTCATCTGTTTACGTGACCAAATGAACTTACATCAAGAATCGAACTATCTAACCTGCATTTTTTTGTAAAACTATTCCGAACTTAAACATTTTCAGTTTCTCTCAATAAAATCTAGTGAAAATTCAATTTAAAGGGTTTTCATTTATTTAAACTCAAAGAAGAAATACCTTTCCAAGGAAATATTAGAAGAGCAAAGGGGTTATTACCTCAAGGAAGAACCTGATAATATCACACATGTTACCTTACCCGCAATTTCTTGGCATACCAGCAACCTAGAAGGAAATATAGAACATCACATCAAATTAATATGAGACAAACCCTCATATTTTATTCATGGTCAGCTTCGAGCCGGATCGACTTTTTGATGTCAAGGAAAGCGGAACTTTCGTTTAAGGTACTGTACAAGCATTTTTTAACAAACTATTAGTGTTTCTTCAAATAAACTTTGCCTTCTTCGAATCATAAACATTTTTTATCAATTTTTTTGTGAGTTTAGAATCATAAACATTTTTTATATCAACTTTTTTTTGTGATTTTAACATCGAGAATGTACTATAGTAACTTGGCAAATTTTTGTATGTTACAATTTTAAATGTATAATCTTTAAACTAACATAAGTGGAACAATTAAGATTGTTTTTGCTTTTTAAACAAGTGTTCTTTTTTGTAAAACATCTTTTAATTGCATTTTAATTAAAATTGCAAATAATTTAAATTTAAACACAATTTGCTAGGAATTTGCATGTCAAACATTTTTTTATGCATTTGTGGAACTTAGATTTTTGTTAAAAATTTATTTAAAATTTTCAAAAAGTTTTTTGTTCCTTAGCAAATTGAAATACAATGTTCTAGGGGACCGTATCGCCAATTTTTTTTTGATATTTTAACTTAGAGCGATTTTCAAAAAAAAAAACATTATCAACCAATTTTGTTTTTCACTCCTAAGTTGACTCCAGGATATTAAAGCAGTAACAAATATTAAATATGGCATCAATCGATGAATTTAAGAAAATCAGATCCATTTCAAAGTCACAATTCACCAGGGTCGAAAATTGGATCAAAGCTAACGTAAATTGCACTGATAAGATTCAAATAGTATCAAAATTGGAAACTTTAAAAACATATTTCATCAAATATTGTGAAGCTCAAGATGAAATTGAGTATCTTGATCCTAAAGACAATGACAGAGAAATTACAGAAACCAAGTATTTCACGTTATTTTCAACTTTAGACTCGATTTTTTCTAAACTAACTGCTCCTATAGTAACTTCAACTCCCAAGTCTCAGACTACAGCTATAGCTTCACGTCTGAAACTTCCGGAGATTCAAATTCCCAAGTTTTCAGGGGATAATCTAGAATACAAATCCTTTATCAATCTTTTCAATGCTTTAATCACGAACAATTCTAATCTGGGGTCACCTTCGGAGAAACTTTTTTATCTGAGATCACATTTAAGTGGGGAAGCTCTCAAACTGATTGAGAATTTAGAGATTTCAGATGACAATTTCACAGTTGCATTGAATTTTTTAGATTCAAAATACAACAATATCAGACAAGTTTTATCAAACCATTTTCAGCAACTGTTGAAGGCACCTGAAATAACCAAAACTTCCCTAAGCACGTTGAAACCATTTATTACAAATACACAATCTATCTATGAATCATTACTCACTTTGGGTCATCAACAAGACACGCTCTTTGAGGCTTTAATTACTCAAATACTAACTTCTAAACTAGATTTTCAATCGCGAAAAGCTTTCGAAGAGCAAGCAACACCAAACTCTCTTAGTACCCCAGCTCAACTTTTTGATTTTTTAAATAGACGTTGTACGGTATTGGAAGCGGTACAAACAGAGGTACAACCGGGAAGCCCACATCATGAGAGGAAATTTAAACAAAGTAGGACTTCACCAACAAAGTCTAGTTTACCCAAAGTGTCTTTGCATACTGCTAATCAACTATCAAACACAAACCATCAATCTAACAGAAACTATCAATCAAACAACAGCCAACAATCAAACATAAACAATCAATCTATCAACAATTCACCAGGTAAAAAAGTAACTTGTGCGATGTGCAGCGAATCTACTCATAGGATTAATTCATGCCCTAAATTTTTATCATTGTCCATAATCGATAGACAAACATACATCAATCAAAACAGATTATGCATTAATTGTTTAGGTCGAAATCATGCGGCCACAACCTGTTTATCTAGATCAAATTGTTCTTATTGTAATAAAAGACATAATTCATTATTACACGAATCATCTTTATCAAATGCTACTCAGGATTCTCCGTTAATGCAGCAAACAAGTGCACAGTTTGAATCCAATTGTTCAATATCTCCGCCTAAGATGGATCAAAATCAAAGGGCAAATCAAACATTAACTTTTAATCAAACATGTTGACAATTAGAACATTCTTTATCTGCTAACTCCACTGCTACACACAGCTATGTACTGCTAGCTACAGCTCAAGTTCAATTCAAATCAATTCAAAATCATGCAGTCATAGTTAAAGCACTTTTGGACAGTGGAAGCCAAATTTCTTTTATAACTAAATCATTATTAAATCAGTTAAACATTCAATCTTATTTCAAAAAGTGTAATGTCGCAGGTATTTGTCAATCTAACAAGGCAATTAACGAGTTTATAGATCTTACATTTCAATCTAATCAGGAACCTGCGATGTTTTTCACAACAACCTTTGCTGTAGTTGAGGAAATAACTTCACATTTGCCTCAAATTCACTTGAATAAAAATTCATTAAAAATTCCTCAGCACATACAATCAAATCTAGCAGATAAAGAATTTAATATCCCTTCTCAAGTGCATGTTTTATTAGGTGCAGAAATCACTAGCGAAATTATCAAACCAGGAGTGTGCAAATTAGGTTTTCAACTGCCCACTCTTAACAATACACATCTTGGCTGGGTAATTTCAGGAAAATTCCCTGCCAGGGCTGTAAACATTCCGAAAATCAACCACACTGCATCTAGTGATATCTTTTACTCTTCAAACAATCATAACGTGGCTTCTGATCCATCTAGATCAGAAAATTATCAATATCCATCTGAGGCTACTAACTCAGAATATCTTAACTATCAATCTTGTTCTGAGGCAAACCCCTCAGAATGTCTGAAACGTAAGTTTGCTTCTGATTCAAAAAGATCAGAAAATTATCAAGCTCTATCTGAGGTGAACCCCTCAGAATATCATAAACATAGCTTTGTTTCTGATCTGACTGGATTAGAAAAGTATCAATTTCCAGCTGAGGCAACCACTTCAGAATATCGTAATCATAACTTTGTTTCTGGCCCAACTAGATCAGAAAAGTATCAATCTCTATCTGAGGTAAAACCCTTAGAATATCTTAAACATAACTTTGTTTCTGATCCAAACAGATCAGAAAATTATCAATTTCTATCTGAGGTGAACCCCTCAGAATATCTTAATCACAAAGTTCTTTCTGATCCAAACAGATCAAAAAATTGTCTGTCTGAGTCAACCTCCTCAGAAGATCAAACTTATCAAACTGATTCTGAGCCTAAGATGCCAGAGTTATCAAACAAACTTTATCAAACTTATCAAACTGATTCTGAGCCTAAGATGCCAGAGTTATCAAACAAACTTTATCAAACTTATCAAACTCATTCTGAGCCCAATAAGCCAGAATTATCAAAAAATACTAATCAAACACATCACAATCATTCTGATCTTGATAAGCTAGAACTATCTAACGATCTTTATCAAACTAAATCAATCAGCTCAGAAACACCTCATGAATTGGATCAATTTCCTTCTGAGGCAAATAGCTCAGAACACAAACATATCAAACTAAAAAATGAGTTCTCTGATCACAGTTCTCTTAATCAATCTTATGAGATCAATAACATTTCACCAAACAGCCCATTTAAAAAACTTTTCCAAACTAACTTATCAACAAACTTCGGTACACCAATGGAATCAACTATTGTTTGGGAAGAAGTCTTACCACTATTTCATTGCTACAACGCCATGGAAACATCTATTGAAAGATTCTGGATCCAAGAAGAAGTGATTACAGAAAATGCATCATCAGAAGACGATGAGTTAGCCGAACGAATTTTCAAGGATACTACTGTTCTATTACCAAGTGGAAGATTCCAAGTAGATCTTCCCCTTACATCACCGACAGCTCACTCACAGTTAGGGGATTCTTTTCAAATCGCAAAACATCGTTTTCTATCATTAGAGAAAAAATTGCATAACAATCCTGGGTTACTTGGTGAATATAAAAAATTCATTGATGAATATTTGCAACTAGGGCATGCGCAGATCATTCCCTTAGAACTTAAAACAATCAACAATGATCAAAAATATTTTGTACCACATCTGGGTGTGATCAGAGAACAAAGTGTTTCAACAAAACTAAGGGTGGTGTTCGACTTTTCTTGCCGAACAACCTCCAAACTTTCCTTAAATGAAATTCTTCTAACAGGACCAAGAGTTCAA